TAACCCAGAGCAGACAAATCAGCTTGATGACTTTCAAAGCCAGGAATACGGCTGCAGGCAAGGGTACTCCAGTCTAGGAGAAATTAAAACATATAGAGACTGTTATTAATTCCATATCTATTTTTGTATAGTCAAATCTGTATGCAAATCCTTAGCATCTCATTTCAGCAGATTAATCTAAAAGTGAAGAGTGGTATGTGAAGGGAATGTAATGATAAAGCTTTGCAAATGAGTAATGCTCCTGTAGGAATCTGGGCTGAAAACTTGCATGCTTTTTCTAAAATTTACCTTTTTGTTCTGTATTGAGAAGAAATGGTTTCTATTTGTACGTTCATTTGTAAATCATTTCAAAGGGAAAAGAAATAGAACCAGTTTCCAAGGTTTTCCCTTGCAGTCCTGACTTGGGGAAAGTTACAGCACTAGATTTGCGAGGCACCTCCTGTGGTTTCATATTCTAGAGGTAATCAACCAAATAACTAACTGGGACTTTTATTTTTACTCCCAACTAGTAATCCAATATCTCATTTCTAAGCATTGTCATAAGAGTGGAAATTTGTATGTAAGGGTAAGGAATCTAATTATCGAGTGCAGATTAACCCAAAAAATTGTATTATAGGTGCATCTGTAGGAGCTAGTAAATAATAATTCTGAATAATAATGATTCTGAAGAGCATGGAGATAAATGTGTGCGCTGTTTGGGAGAGGGGATGTAATAGCTTCATTCTAACCTACTGGTTGTACATTTCATCTAGAATAGGCAGAATCTGATACATACAGTGGTATAAATATTTTCAAATAGTGTCGTAATGTGGGTAGTTCACTGCAGTAGATATTAATTCAGCCCCATTATTCTAAAACAAGTAGTTTTAAGGTAATGGGTGAGAGCTTTGCCTTCTGCTTCTTCTCAATTGAAGAAATGATTATAGGGCATTAATCTGGTGGTTATGGCCCAGATCAAAACCCTTGGCAGTCATTTTAACCTTGAACACTTGTATGGTCTCACCAGGCTTGATTGTTTTTCTGCAATTATGTTGAGAAAGAATGATTGAATATTCCATTTTTAATCAGGTAGATAAAGGTAGGGAGCAAAAAAGAATATAACTCTATATTTATTTTGACACGCATCTTGACTATGTAGGCCATTCAGCCTTGGGCTTTCTTAAATATGTTTCCTTTAAAATGTTCATTTTAAAATGAACATTCAGTGTATTTTTTTGTTGGTCAGCCATAGGGCTTGAGCACTCTGAGCCTGGGCACTGTCCCTCAGCTCTTCAGCTCAAGGCTAGCAGTCTACCACTTAAGCCACAGTGCCACTTCCTGAAATATCTTAACAAGAACTTTGAGAGCAGGAATCTCATTGCTATCTATTCCTTGCAGAATTCCTCTACAAAGATTTTGTCGATCTTAAAAGCTCTGTATTATATCAGGTAACATATTCAATAAAAAGGGAATGAAAGCTTTGCAATAAAGAGAAAAAAAACAATATGTTCTGTAATAGCCCTGGTCAATTACATGAAACACACTATCTCCTTGCTAGGGCTGAGTGAGAGGAAGAAATAGTTTGGACAGGTGCCCTCCTCGTTGTGTACCCATTAGCATTAATTGATTATTTCAATTTGGCAGAGAATTAGAAACTAATCCTCTAGATTCTGGTTGACTTGACTCTTGGCCACAGAGTGGATGGTGGAGATCTATTCAAAGCATTTGAAACTGTCAAAGCAAAAATTGCACAGGATAAAGTTAAACTGTGACAGGAAGACTTTATTTAAGATTATTTCTACAAGGGACAGATGAGAACGGAGTTTGGAATTAGCTCCATGGAAATGAGCTTTTTAAAGGGAAGGACTTTGAGGGAAGTTTGATCGATAGATGTGCAGCACACATTTAGTTATTTGTCAGTTTGCAGCTTTTATTTTCGGTGATTAGACCATTAGCGTTTGTTAATTGGTATCTCTCACAGTTAGATGCCTGTTCTGCAGTAGAAACTGAGAGATTGGGCACTATCTTCCTGGATGAATACATAAGAAGATGAGTTATGGAAGTGGCGCTGTGGCTCAAGCGGTAGAGCACTCGCCTTGAGCTGAAGAGTGCAGGGACAGCGCCCAGGCCCAGAGTTCAAGCCCCATAACCAACAAAAAAAAAAAGAAGAAGAAGAAGAAGATGAGTTGTGAAAGTATATTTTTTTAAAAATTATTTACAACTCAAAGAGGGAAGAGAACACTTAAAGTTATAACTTACTATAGTAAATTTCAGTGTGGCTCAAGTGGTAGAGCTCTTGCCTTGAGCTGAAGAGCTCAGAGACAGCGTCCAAGCCCAGAGTTCAAGCCCCACAACCAACCGACAAAAAAAAAAAAAAAGAAAGAAAAGAAAAAAGGAAATACAGCAAATTTCTCGGAGAAAAGAGAGGCCTGGCAAAGTTCATGCCTGTAATCCTAGCTATTCTGGAGATTGAAACCTGAAGGGTCGTGGTTTGCTGCTAGTGCAGGCAGGAAAATCCAGAAGATTCTATCTCCAAAATAACATGAAAAGGGACTCCTCTTTGGGGGCTTTTTCTGAATGGAAAGTTGCTACTTTCCCTTTCTCTGCTTTCCTTTCATTTTCAAATAAACTTACTTTGTTTAGGAAAAACAAAAATGCCAGGCTTGAGATATGGCTTTAGCAGTAGAATGCAAGCAAAGCTGACAAGCCTGAAGCCCCAGGACCCACAAGAAGAGAAATGAAATCATGTGGGGAGGCCCAGGATTCAGAGAGAGGAAGCAGCTTAAAGCTAAGGGAGGGTTAAGTGGAAGTTAAGATCTTCTTGTTCAGTAGAGCTGCGGCTCAAGTGGTAAAGCACTAACGTTGAGAAAGCAAGTTCAGGCCCGGAGTTCAAACTCTAGAACTGGCAGAAAAAAAAGACAAATTCCAATATGAACAGGTTTTAGTCAATTTTAGATATTTACTGCAACATTAGTTCTTTGGGATAATTATTAAAATAAAAATGATGTTCGTTTTACACTAGTGTCTGGAACTATATCTGAGGCAATATTTGTAAAGTTTTTTTAATCTCCATATTACTGTCATTACCAAAAAAATTCTCACTGCACCAATGTCAGTGTCTCACTATAATCCTAGCTATTCAGGAGTATGAGATTGAAGGTCATTATTTAAAGCCACCTAGAGCAGGAAAGTCTATTGAGACTCTTATCTCCAGTTAACCACCACAAAAGCTAGGAGTAGAGCTGTAGCTCAGGTGGTAGAATGCTAGCTTTGAGCAAAATGCTCAGGGACAGGACCCAGTCCCCCTGAGATCAAGCCCCAAGACCGGCATGATTTTTCCCCACTGTGTTGTTTTATGACTTATACTTTAGAGTTTTCCCATATGATAGTAGAATAACATGTCTGGGTTTTACAGGGCTCACTGTCCACAAGCATGAAAAAGAATGATTGGCTTTATCCATCTAAAATTCTTGGGACCATAGTGTTTGGATGTGGAGTTTATCTGGAATTTGAAATATTTGCATCTATATCATGAGACCTCCTGGAGATGAGAACCATGTGTAAACACAAAATTAATTTGTGTTTTGTATATACTCTTTGCATATAGCCTGAAGGCAATTTTATGCAGGTTTGTTTTTAATGTGCCTGTGCTTTGACTGCCATCCATCACTCCCGGTCACGTGTGAGACTTTCCAGTGTGGCATCATGCCAGAGCTCAGAAAGCTTCAAAATTTGCAGCTCTTTGGGTTTTAGATTCTGGATTCAGGATATTCAACCATAGCATATAAGGGGAACAAAACCAGAGTTGAAAGTGTGCTTACTTCTGTGGCTTTTAAGTACGCAGGCAGTCTCAAATTTCTTGAATCGAATTATTTTTCCAGGTTGTTGTTTGTTTAAGTTGATTATAACCATTGTGTTCGAGGATACTAGATTTGTGCTGTCCAGTTTTCTAGCCATTAACTAGTCTTAGTCTTATAGAATACTTGAAATGTGGCTAATTGCTGCTGCTTCAAATATACCCTGGATTTTGAAGATTCCGAATGAAAAAAATAACCACAACTTAAAAAAATCTCAAGATTTTTTTCTTGTCAGTTGTGGGGCTTGAACTCAGGGCCTGGGCACTGTCCCTGAGCCTCCCAGTGCTCACTCTACCACTTGATCCATGGCACCACTTCCAGTGTTTGAATGGTTAATTGGAGACAAGAATCTCTCTCACCAGGACTTTCTGACTGGGCTGGCTTCAAATTCTGATCCTCACATCTCGGCCTCCTGAGTAGCTAGGATTGCAGGCATGAGCCACCGGTACTAGCTTAAGATTTTTTTGTATTAATTTTATATTGAAAATATTTCAGTTAATATAGTATTTAATTGGAACATATTATTTGATTTATTATATTATTAATTTCAAATGATTAAAATGTTTTACTATATTAAGGTAAGTCAGATTTAGTATTAATTTTCATTTTGGTATTTCTTTTCAACTTTTTTATGTGGCTACCGGAAAATTTGTAGTTGCATATGTGATTCTGGTTACATTCCACATGAGCCATTGCTGGCCTACAACCCTCTTGATAAATAATGCCTGTTGCTAGGTATTTCTTCCAGAGAAATAGCAAGATACCATTGTGCTACTGTACAGAGGTTAGAGCTTTAAAATTGCCAATTTAGCTAAGGACAAGAATTTTCCATCTAACTCTGTTCCCATCGTAAATTACATCATGCTTAGATCTATGTGTGCTACATTCACCTCTATATTTGCCCCCCCACTCAAGCCCTGCAGAACAGCTTGCTAGAATTGCAGGCAATCCTTACTACCATCGGCATGTTGTTGCTTGATAACAACTGGATTGCTTCTGAAATGTGTCTTAAAAGCTTCTTAATTACGTCATGGGCTCATCATGAGAATCTATAAACAGATTCTTAGCAGTAGCTAATCTCCTTTTAATTGTATCCCATTCTTATTTTGAAATATCCTGTTTTCTTATTCATGAAAAATTCTAACACATGTTCCTCCATTACAGGTGGAGTAACTAACACAGCGCAATACCAGAACAGACTGATGGTATATGAACCTAACCAGGTAAGAATCATATATAAAAAGCTTATTGCCGTAATTAAAATGAATGTGTGTGTGTGTGTGTGTGTGTGTGTGTGCACGTGCGCTAGTTCTGGGGCTTGATACTGGGGCTTCGATACTGTCCTTCAGCTTTTTTGCTCAAGGCTAGTACTACTTGACCCACAGCTCCACTTGTTTGATATTTTTTTTTGGGGGGGTAGTTAATTGGAGATAAGAGCTTCATGGACTTTTCCTGTCCTGATTGGTTTTGAATCAAGATCCTCAGCTCTCAGCCTATTGAGTAGCTAGGATTATAGGCATGATATCCAACTTAAGATGAAATTTTAAAGGTCTTGATAAGAAGCTGGATGTGGTGGCCCAGGCTTGTTACCCTAGTTTCTCAAGAGGCAAAGACTGGGTGTACAGCAGTTATAAGCCCCAGGCAAAAAGTTAGGAAGACCTATTTCAACTAACAAGCCACAGCTAGTAGCACATTTCAGTGGTCCCAGTAATGTGAGTGGTATGCATAGCACAACTATGGCTTGGAATGTGAAACAACGGGTTGACTTTCTGTCTGTATCATGATTGACCACCAAAGGTACACCCAGAGAATCTTGTGTATCTTTCCATTTTGACAATTACTTGATTCTGCATTCAATGAGGACAGCTCTCTCTCTCTCTGTCTCTCCCCTCCCCCCCTTACAAGTCTGTATCCTGATGTCCTGAGAGGCTGTAGACTGTGAACAGGTTAGTGGTCTCAAGGGAGATCACTAATTGCAGTTGCTTGAGCATGGTGCACACATGGTTAAAGAGGAAGAAAGTGTTAACATTGCTTAAATGAGTTCTGGTCCATGTTTGTACACACATGCTCTTTTTAAAAATTCTGCTGGCATATTGTTTACGGTGGGTACTGGCAAACATCACATCTGCTTGCATCTTGCTCAGAATCTCAATAACTCTATCATTCAGCCCTGGTGCTTATTTCTCTTCTAGGCCTTTGTGGAGAGTCGATAATGCCTGCCATCTGCCACAGAGCACATCGCTACCTGCCAACAGGCAGGCTGGGGTGACCTCTGCCTCCCCACCACTGATTAGTATTCACACGCTAGCTTATTAGGAATGACCCCGCCAGGCCTCTTCGTTTCTTTGCCTTTGCAGTGGTTGGCGGCTCACCTGGCAGGCACTGCAGTGAAGGAAGCTGAAGATATAATCAGGGGATGTAGGCAGGCTTTGCAAACCAGATGGCATCTCCAGTCCTGTGGCAGGGGACTGACTGCTAATGCAAACATTGATTCCTAATACCATAATGGGTTGTCTCAAGAAAGCACCCAAGAAAAGCATCATTAGAATTTTTTTTAAAGAAATCACTCAAGTGTAATGCATTAGAGATTTTTCTTAGCAAAATATCTTAAAGAAAGGCCGGTTGTATTGAGGAAGATATTTGAGTGAACGGAGATTCTTACTAAATGCTTAAACAGATAGAAGATAATTCAAGCCTGTCAAACGGTACAAACTTCTTTCTCTGGAGTGGATCTTTGAAAGAGAAGATAGAAATGAGCTAGAATATGTGCCTATATTGCATATATGCCTAGAATGTATATGCCTAGAATATATATGCCAATGTTTGTACAAACTCATAGTTGTATTCAAAACATCATATGATTTTTCTGGTCCAAATCCAAATTTTTCTTGGCAGAAAGGAAACAAGGGTTCTTCTTGTATGTTTAGTATTTATAAAGAAAGAAAAAAAAGGCTTATTTACCTGCCTAATATTTGGTTTACTTATTTGATATTTATTTTGCAGTTTATGGTTAGTCAAAATTTTGAACTAATTTTTACTCATGTACGTGTGTGTGTATGTGTGTGTGTGTACCTGCCAATCCTGGGGCTTGAACTCAGGGCCTGGTGACCATCAGCTTGTCTCTCTCTCTTTTTTCTGAGAATTTTTTTTTGGGGGGAAGGGGGTCTGGTCCTGGGCCTGAACTCTGGGCCTGGGTGCTGTCCCTCAGCTCTTCAGCTCAAGGCTAGCGCTCTACCACTTGAGCCACAGCACCACTTCCGGCTTTTTTTTTTTTTCTGCTTATGTGGTGCTGAGGAATCAAACCCAGGACCTCATGCATGCAAGGCAAGCGCTCTACCACTGAGCCAGCTTCCCAGCCCTGAGAATTGTTTTTATTCTTAACTTTTGGTAGTTATACAGGGGAGGTGCTATTTAACAAAGCAGTACATGAAAACAGTGCATCTTGATCTGTGCCACCCCCTTCAACCTCAGCCTCCTTTGATTCACTCCTTCCCTTCCATTTCTCAATGCTGCGGTATGTGCAATGAATTATCGACTGCATTCGTCCTCTCCCCCCCCCCCCCACGCTCTTCATTGTCTACTCTTTTCCCCTTAATTGCAAGTACCCATTTTTGGTGCTCATTTTGTTGAGCTTTGATTTAGTATTTCTTTAAAAATATACTATTTAAGATCTCCATAGTGTTTATTATGATTTATTTAATTCATTTGGAACTGCTTGCATATTCCTGATATTGCTTTTGAGCTTTTTAGGTCAAGACTACCACTCTAGCACTTGAGCCACAGCTCTACTTCCAGCTTTTTTAGTAGTTAACTGGAGATTAGAGTCTCCTAGACTTTTCTGCTTGGGCTGTGGCCTTCAATGTGATCCTCAGATTTCAGCTTCCCAAGTAGCTAAAATGACAGGCATGAGTCACTGGCACATGGCTACAGTTTATATTTTAAATTAGGAGCCTTATTTTCAGAGGGACTGAACATACCTTTCTTCTTCTGAAGAGTAACCTGTAACTGGATATTGAAGATTTCCTGGTTCCCTAAAGTTCTCATGCAAAACTTGACCTTTTACCAATATTAGCAAACATGTTCCTAAAATAACTTTTCCCAGTCTTGTAAGAGGTATAACTGGATACATGTTAAAGTAAGTTGATACAAAGGAAATATGAGAGGATATTAAATTAAAAATCATAGCTGTTGGGAAAGAAAGCAAAGGTACTTTCAACTTAGGTTGTCAAGACACATTGAATATCCAATGATTGTTTTCTTTTTTTTTTTTTAAATGGGAGCACGTATTGGACATATATTACATGCAGCATTTTTTAAATGTTTAAGTTGCATTAGCTCATTTCATCTTCACAATACCATGTAAACATTCATATCCCCATTTTACAGAGGAAATAGGCAGAGATTAAATTAATGGCAAAGGATCCCACATGGGTTATATTCCAGGCATTTGGGATCAAGAGACTGTTCTCTTTAATTATTATACCAGTATTCACTACATATCCAGCCATGTAATAGAGAGTAATTTCCATGAGCAAATTCTCTGAATTGGGTAAGAATCTTCATGACAAGTGGAGGGAGCAGACACATGGAGAGAGGGAAAGAGAGGGTGGGTCAGCAAATATAGTCATGGTCCTCAAGATACATGAAAATGGAATGATGCAACTTGAGGATATGGTTGGTGTTGGAAAAGTTGGGGGCGAATGATGGGAGGGGTGACATTGATCAAGATGTTTACTATCTATACATTCATTTGTTAAAACCCCTTTGAACAACTAAAGATAATTAAAAAGATGAGAATGACATTTTAAATATTTCCCATATAAAATGTGTCCTTTAAAATGCAAGCCAGAAGAAATGTCTCACTTAAGTCACACAATAGGACTGGAATTTGTTTGGTTCTTTTGTACTTGTTTGCCTGTAAGAAGCTCATGACTGTGAATATACATTAGACTATATACCTTGGGATGTTCAGATGGCGTGCAGAAATGAGGACACCAACTCAAAAGGAATTCAGCAAGGTAAAGTTTTCTTCTGCAGAGGGTGCTCCATCTGCCCAAAGTCTGTCATTCAATCAAGCAAGTACACAGAGCAGGCAGGCTGCTCTCTTTTTATCCTCGACCAAGCAGGCCCTGCCCCTCCCCTTGGATTGGCTGAGCTGGGGTTCACAGTCTGCAAAAGGATGTGGCTTAACTAGCAGTAATGGGATGCAACTAAAAATCAATGAGCTTGTTACAGGATGTCTTAAAGTGTAGCAAGGAAAATGAAGTAACAAAAACATAATTCCTGGCTTGGGCCAGGAACTTTTCAGAAAAAAAAAACAACTCACACAAGACTGACAAACACTTTGATAGAAGCAAAACACTTTGCTAGAAAAGAACGCATTCCTCACAAATGTAAATGCTATTCAAATTAAATGTGGATAATAAACACTGGGGCCTGACTGCTAATGTGCTCAGTTATCTCCCCCTCTCTCACCTTCTCCCCCTCCCCCTCTTTCCCTCTTTCTCTTCCTCTCCCACTCTTTAGAATAAGTGGATAAGCCGCAGCCCCATGCTACAGAGAAGAGTCTACCATTCCATGGCAGCCATCCAGAGGAAGCTTTATGTTCTTGGAGGCAATGATCTGGATTACAACAACGACCGAATTCTTGTGCGCCACATAGATTCTTATAACATGGACACTGATCAGTGGACCCGTTGCAATTTTAACCTGCTGACTGGCAAGTATCTGATTTAAAATTTTAAAAAATAAGTAAATAAACTCAGGGCCAGGTACTGGTGGCTCACTGGTGTAATCCTATCAGGTGGCAGGAATCTGATGCTTGCAGTTCAAAGCTAGCCTGGGCTGGAAAGTCTTGTGAGGCTCTTATTTCAAAATAACCAGCAAAATGCCAATGTGGCTCAAGTGGCAGAACTCTAGCCTTGAGTGAAAAAAACATATATATTCAGAGATTTTAAGTTTTCACACTTGTTAAGTTAAAATTTGTTTCCTTAGAGTTTTAGACTTTTTTTTTTGGTACATCTCCAAATTTTAAGTGCAGAGTTGGTAAAGCAACTTGCTTTATTAATCAGAAAGCTGTGCACTCACTTTTTCTCTTACAGCATCAGTGGACACCTACTTTCTAAGTTCCTGTATTACCTTTGTACACATTCTCAAGAGTCATGCCAGGGCTCTTATCATGATTCATATGCACATATTGATACAGGTAGGAGGGACAAGGTTCTGAGTTAATAATTCTTTGCAGAAGCAATACATATTTGACTTCTCACTGTTCCATCCTCTTTTTATTTCTTTTGAGTTCAGGAGTTCAGTGAAATGGTGCTCTTTATTATTTGCCACTGTCGAATACTGTTTTCTGGGTGTAGTGTTCTGGAAATGAAACCTTAGTAGTTCTGTACAAAGGGGTTTCTGATCACACATCCTCAGCCAGGCATAGGTGTGGTCCCTCCCCGCCTCAAAAAAAGAATGAACGAAAAGCTTCTTCCAGACTGGAAAACATTGTCTCCCTTGTCAGTATTATTAATATCTACAAAGGAGCAAGGAAAATCACAAACTCAAAATTCCGGAAGACATTTTAATATTTTGAATGGCATCAGTCACTCCCAGCTGTTGTTGGAGAGGTACTATTGGGAGCAAACCCAGAGACTTCAGTGCTTTGCAGTGAGGCCGTTTTTTGCAAAATGATTTTTGAGGCCCCCTAGCAAGAACTGAACTCTCAGTTGTAGTGGTACCTTAGACCCTGGATCCTTGGATCTGTTATTCTGCCTGTTACAGAACCCAGCTTATTTATTACTCCAGTCAATCCTGTGTCAGCTCATCAATAAAAAAGACTCTTTCGCTTCAATGGCCTCCAGGGAAGAATATGTGGTAGTGAGTTATTCTCTCTTCTTTTTTCAAGTGGGAGGGGAAACCTTTCATCATTTTGGCGTGTTAGTATCAAGAGATTATCCAGGCTGGTCCCAGCTCAGGCACTTTAATATAATCTTAAAACTGTTGTATATGTAAAAAAAGGGAGGCTAGCAATTTTATCTATTGTTTCTGCTATTTGTCTTCATTTGAGGTGTGCTGGGGGCATGGTTCTGTTTTATTGTCTTCTTGGGAATGCAGTTGTTACTTAAAAGAATGTAAGCATTTGCCTTAAAGGCATTTGTGGGCACATGAGTATTTTTGTTTATCTAAAATATACCTGGTTATCATTGCTATAAATTAATGGCATATTTACAAGAGTATGGAGCTTAGCTCTATATAATTGCTTTGTTTAACTCTACATTTGACTAACTTGGCTGTTAGCAAGTGTATTGGTCTGGTTCAGACCTGACACAGTTAATTCTTTTGCATTCTGGAGGCAGTGATTAGTTTCTACAAAAATCCCATGGAGTATATGAAATATGCCAAAGGGGGAACTGTCTTCCTCAGGGGCAAAAGGGTTAATTAAAACATGTAAGAAATGACTTCTTTTTCTTCTTCACATCCAATTCTTTTTACTTTAGGCCAGAATGAATCTGGAGTTGCTGTCCACAATGGGAGAATATATTTAGTTGGTGGATATTCAATTTGGACAAATGAGCCTCTGGCTTGTATCCAGGTAAGTGGTTGGAGTTCCTTTTGAAGTTGACCCATGTGCTTTCATTGGTTTGCAGTGCACCCACGATGGAGGACATGTTTACAGATAGAGTTCAAGACCTATTTTGGGGATGGGTGGGAGTTATAACCAGTTCAACCACTAAACTCTGCCCTATCTCACAAAAATAAGACATGTTGAAAATGAAAGTGGGAAAAAGCTTTAAATCTACAAGTAAACACGCTTGTCATGGTAAATGACAAAAAAAAAAAATACACTGGGATACGGCTAGGACAGGACTCTAGACATTTACACAATGACACCAAAGGAGAATATTCTTAGGAGAGAATCACAAAGGTTCAATAGCTATGAGCATATGATCATATAAAATGATACTTAGAAAAATGAACTCCAAGAAATGGAAACAAGAGGTTTTATGTTATTTTGTTGCTTCTTGATTTTTTCCCCCCTTACTCGTCACTGTTTTCAATTTCTGTACCTCTTTCCTTGTATGTAAGTTTATCTGTTTGGGGCAGGTAAAGGGGAGCAGACATGGTGGGACAAAGGATGAACAAATGCAGCAGTGATACTCATTAGACACTATGTTGAAAATGAACTATACAACTTGTGTGGAAATGGGGTTGGGAGGGAAAGGCCGGGAGAAAGCAAGAGGTGACACTGCTCAAAAAGAAATGTACTCATTACCTGACTTACCTAACTGTGGCCCCTCCGTCTATCACCTCTACAATAACAATTTTTTTTAAAGATTAAAAAAAATGTGAATCATATACTGGAAACAGGGAAAGTGGGATGACTTACCTTTTGTTACAGATCAAAAAAAATCCGGAAAGTTTTGGTAATAGCCATTCAAACTCTGAAAACTACAATTGTCTCCTCTTCATTGCAACGTGTTCATTTCCATAAATGCCACCTACAATGGTGTTCTGTCTTGGGCAGTCTATGAGTAGGGGCGGTCATGGCTGGTGTGGAAGGGACAGTCTGTCTCAGACAATAGCCCTGGCACATCTGTATATGAGTGTGGGAGAAGCCCAGGGCAGCAGGTGTCAGCTGGGCTGTTCACAGATGCAGCAGACTTCACTGAGTAATACTTCATGCATCTTTGTGTATTACTGTTTTATAATTCTTTAAGTTTTTCAGTTACATATTCTCTGATAAAAAATTGATCTTTTTTTAGCTATGACCTTTCTTCTGTTATCAAGAAAAGTGTGCTCTTTTAACCACTCTTATTATGAGAGGTATTTGGGAGTGGGGGTGGGGGCAATGAGATAGTCTCTCTAGTAGCTTAGGTTGGCCTCAACTTGCAGTACTCCTGCCTTAATCCCCAAAGTGCTGGGATTATAGGCACATACTACCATGCTAGCTGTTTCTCATTTCTTCTTTTTTGGGGGAGACAGAGGAGGAAAGGGGGTGAAGGATGGTACTGATGTTTGAATTTAGAGCCCCATGTTGGCTAGGTAGCTTCTGTTACTCCTTGGGCATACTGTCAAGCCTATAGGAAGTTTCAACAACTTCAATATTTTTCAGGAGTTTGATTCTTCAGTAACATTTCATAAGATATATATAGAGAGAGAGAGAGAGAGAGAAACAGATGTATGATTTCATGGCATATCTGATATTCACACCATGTATATGATATATATCATGTAGCATATACATAGCCTATATATGATATGCACATCATATATATGATATACACCAAAGGTACTTATTTGTTAAAGTCCTTTAGTTTTCTTTATTGCCAGTACTTAATTGTTGTGTTTAGTTGTATTTCCCTGTACCCATATGGCTTATATTTTCCTGTATTAATAATGTTATCTTTTTTTCTTCTTGAGCTGTTTGCCAATTTTAAGGATTTAAATATCTATCTAATACACATCGAATAGAAAAAAAAGTCAGCAGCACAGGAAAGACATAAAAAAACATAATTAAAAGGCAGTCACATGGATGAGATTCCCAGATTTAATAATTAGAATATATTTTCATAGCATACCTGGAACACCTCGATAATAAACAATCACTAAGGAAACTTTAATAAATTTCAAAAATTAGTATTATGCACCTCTAATACAAAGCCATTAATTTGACCTCAACAAAATGTACCCCTATAATCTTGAGATAATAAAACATCATATAAGCTAAGGATTAAAGAAGACATGATGGAGTGTTAAAAAAATTCCCAGAATTGTGTGACAATGAAAGCAATAAATGAATAACTAGCAACGATTACAAGATAAATGCAGCTTAATAAATTTACAAAATGATTTAAAAATAAACTCAAAGTAGAAAACAAAAGATGTGAACGAATGAGGAAGTGATAACAAAAAAATTATCAGACACACATACAAAGCATCATAATTTTAAAGGAGTTATTTAAGGCATATTTTGCAGAACAGCTTATCCATATCTTTTGGATCTCAACAAATGTTCCTGCTGTTTTCACCTCAAGAATGGCGTCTGTCTTCATCCAAGCATCCATGTGGCAGTTTTCAGTCTTTTAGGTTTCTTCTAATTTTCACTTTTCAGAATTGCTAAAACATTGAACTGGTCAACAGATAGCTCTGCTCTGTAGTGGTGGAACCCCGTTTTCCTAAGTGCCTTTGGAAACCTCATTTGACTGCTTGCCAATGGAAGTAAGTTGGAACTTACTTATCATTACCTTGCAAATTTTAAGTATTTATGGTGCATTTCCATTCATTTTCTTATTGGATTAGTTTAAGGAACAGAAGTTAGTTATAACTTAATTTTTATAATGATCTTGGCATACATAGCAGATTTAGACTACAGGTTGCCATAATTTAAAGCTTTTTCCACATCTCCTGTTTTGGAATAGTCTTGAAAGTATGCATGTAAGACACAAGAAAATTAACAACAAAACATTAGAATCTCATAATTTGCCTTCCCCTCCCCCCAAGAAAGCTTTTCCCATTATGGATCAATAACTAAATACACTATGTTGCTAATGTCTGCTCTCAAGCAAAATAGGTTACCTTCAAGAAATGAAGTGGTCTAGAATGGTACCCGAAGCCACTGAAATATTAACGCTTCTTCCAAATTTGGTATTCGAAAGAGTATTTTTTAAAATTTTCATTTTAAAGCTAGGGGCTGGGAATATGGCTTGGTGGTGTAGAGTGCTTGCTTAGCATGCATGAAGCCCTGGGTTTCATTTCTCAGTACCACATAAATAGAAAAGGCTAGAAGTGGCACTGTGGCTCAAGTGGTTGAGTGCTAGCCTTGGGCAAAAGCAGATCAGGGACAGTGCCCAGGCCCTGAGTTCAAGCACCAGAACTGGAAAAAAAAAAAAGTTAATTCCTGTATTAGTGGCATAAATTTCTCCTGAGACTTGCAATAAAATATTCATACATGTGTATGTGTACACACACACACACACACACACAAACACACACGCTTAAAAACTCATCATTATGGGTAATTCTGTTGCTTTTTGCTAAACAAAATCAAGCAAATCCTGTTTATTCCCTAAGGCTAGCATATGGTTCTATAAAGCACAGATAAATTTGATAAAAAAAATTAGTCTTTATTATTAACAGAAAATGTGCCCATATTACCACATGGTTGTCACTTAAGAGAGATTTGGAATAAAAATTGTCACAATTAACAGGCCTTCCATATATCATGTTTTTGAATTTTTAGTTATTGACAACCGGTTGCTGATGACAGGATTCTTTCTGTACTAAAGCTGAAATTTGTTTTATGGTTGGCTACAGATCAATTCTTTTGGGGCATTCAGCATAATATATTGATGGTTGGAGAGATTAGTTCCATGTTCAAAAGCAAGACACTTCTTTGCTATTGCTGGAAGAATATCCAATAGGGAGGCGAGCTAGTGGAAGACTGGAATAATGATCTGGAGAAAAGGCTCATGAGAGAGAGAGAGGGTGTGCACTGAAAAGTATAGCACAATGGCAAAAATCACAGGCACACTCAAATGATCAAAGTTTAAATTTTTGTGTCATAAATTACTAATCCATATAATTTCCAATCCAAGGTTAACCTATAAACTATCCATCTCAGGCTGATTAATGGAGGTTACTCTCAAATAGCTCAGAGATCGTTCTATTAATATCCAGAAGGACTAAAATTCTTTTATTCCCCCTTGAAAATACCAGCCAATAGCCTGTCTCATTAGATGGATGTTTCAGGACCCTAGTCCAAGTTCATTTAGTCATCACTTGTGGGATTTTTGACCCCTGGGGAAGAAGCATGTAGGATGCAGAGAACATATTCATTTCATTTCTGGCTACTACTTCGATTCCCTGATTCACCACAAGGAGATCCAACAAGAGAGAAAGCTAGATATTCTTGTTAGTACTTGTTTGCAGATTGAGCTCTGGACTTGTTAGACAGAGACTTATGGATATACTAGAAACAGATTTCTACAGAGTGAAGGTGCTCGTTTCTTATTTGTGAGTAAGTAAGCAAATGCCTGGCACAGGAAATAAATCTTGGTGTGCTATGGATGACAAGTACAACACAAGGGAACAGCTGTCTTAGTGTGCAAGTGATAAGTCTGTTTCCAGATCACTTTGACTATTCTCTTCACTTACTATGTGTTCCTTGTGGCTGGAGGATATGCAGCCAGTCTGGCACCGCCTTCTCCCAGACGCCCAGTTTACAGGGGAGTATTTTGGAGAAAAACTGACAAAGCCTCATTTTCCCCTTGCAGATTAAATATATTACATCTGCTTAACATTTGCAGTCTCAGTTGTCCCATGAACCTAGACAAAAGCTCTCTGGATGATTACCTCACTGTCATTTTGCCTTTTAAGAATGGACCCTTTTAGGGAAAGGGATATTGTTAAGGGATTTTATAATCTTGCTTTTTTGGGGTTGCCTCCTTGAGCCTCAAATATTGGGAAACTTTACCAGTCAAGTTACTGCAAGTTACTTATTTTTTAATCTGTGTATCTACTGGCTTTCTTTCCCGTAAATAGAAGATAATATGATAAATACTACATGTTCTCTACTTTTGAAACTTGTTGAAATACTAATCAAAATCCCACTGAAACTTCCCTTTATCTTATCGAGAAGGCAAGTGATACTTGTCATACTGATCTTGAGTTTCTCAAGAACAAACGTATAATAATCAAGAAAATGGGGAGGTATTCAAAACAACTGTAGATGTGATACTGCAAAAAGATGGACAAATTACTGAATGGAACATCTTGTACTTAGTGTGAAGGAAATATTCTAAATTAGTAGTGATAGGGCAGATTGGTAAATGGATTGGGAGAAGTAAAATTCATTTGGGGGAGAAAAACAGCTAAAAGATTGATGATCTTTTGTTCTAGGATTTAGTGACGCCCACCCCTTCCCCATTAGGCTGGACTCCCAATTTTCCAAGGCTCCTTTCATCTTAAACAATGTATTAACCATAGCTAAAGTGTTATTAAGGGGTTATCATACCAGGAACAGATGAAGATGTGAATGGACGAAAACATTGAAGATCCATGGCTGGAGAACACCTATTGTCAGGATGCAAGTGGAGAAAAGCAACCAATGCCCACTATCAACATGATGTCAAAGATACCTTGTATTTATTTTTTAAATCATCAGTCCAAGGGAGGAAAGGTTTTAAATGAAGTAAAGTCATGATACTGAAACAACTGAGGACTTTAAAAACCTGATGGATTTGATGCAAGGGATGAGAGCATCGTATCTGGAGAAACACTAAGCTAGATTAAATCAGGTGATAGTGGGCGCAGACTAACAAGAGATACATACAAGAAAAGTTAGAACTCCAGATTTAATTGGAAAGGGAGGGGGTATAAGTTTCCAGAATAAAATGAACAAATATTGAAGCTACTTTGTTATTCTATGTATGAAACAGGTGCTCAGCTACAGTTCACCAGTTTTCACAACAAACTTACAAGGTTTTGTTTTCTTTATCTTAAGGGCAAGGACTTGAAAACAAGTGTAAAGATGCTACCTATAAACTAGTTTGGGAGTGTTACTTAGCCAGTCTAAGGAAATTTGACTAAGGATAATGCTATCGTTTCATCACTATTCTTAAGCTTGATTGTGAGTGAACATTTCTGGGATTATTTTAGCAAGAAAAACAATTCCCCAAAAGGGTTGGGGATGATGGTACACCGAGTTTAAATCCAGATGTCCTGAAAGATACATACAGCTTTGTTGTGAGTAACCACCTGTTCTTGTTTTGTAGGTTCTAGATGTAAGCAGAGAAGGCAAAGAAGAAGTATTCTATGGGCCTACACTACCTTTTGCTTCCAATGGAATAGCAGCATGCTTCCTTCCAGCCCCATATTTCACATGCCCCAACCTTCAAACTCTTCAAGTGCCTCATCACAGAATTGGTACCATCTGAAAAGCCAGTGCTCTGTTAGTAACCATCACCGATGGAGGAAAAAACAAGTTTGACTTCCAGATAGTGGACTTGAAACTCCTCAGTGCTCAATGCTTCCTTGTCTTCTTTCATGGGTCTTCAATTTCAGATAAAAAGTAGCAAAACAATTTTCTAAAGTACATTATTGGGAACTTTTCTCTGTGTATGTCAACATAAAGTAAAAATATGTTTGACTTTTATTGTGGTGTAGCTTAGTGCCAACTGAATAGAACATTGTTTTTTCATGGGTCTTTCAATATTCTTTGTACATGTTCCTAATCAGCACTGTCTAGGACATGACACAGCTAAGGAATTTTTTTTCATGCATTAGTTACCTTAAAATCTTTTGTACTTGCTCCCTTTACTAGGTTAAACATTGGCTTGTAAATTTTCTTTTCAAAATTTAACATGAAGTCCAGCTCAATAGATATTCAACATTATGATGTTATAATTTTTTAAGTACTATGTTTTATTCAAGATGATACATATACTAGAAATTGAAATATCTAGATCTTTCCACCTTGGTTATTTTGACCTTAGGTAAGAACTTTATATAGTGTTCCATTTCTCCCGCCTTTTAGAGATGGTAATAACTGATTTCCCTATTAATTCAAAAGAATGTTTAGAAGATCAGGCAAGCTCTGAAGCTATGGCTAAGGGGGAAAAAAGTTATGCAAATTTAAGGTGTTTTACTGTGCTGGGAGCCCTGTAACTTAATCAGGACATGATTTTTAAGTTTAAAAATGACTACATAGAACCTAGAATAGTGTAATATGGGAAAATGACTTTTAGAATCACATGAGACCTGTTTTTCTTCACTAGGAAGAAGGGTATTTACCAACACCAAAGATATCCCCACCCATACAATCCATGCCTCAAACAGGAACTCCTTTACATTTTACAAGTCGCATAGTGAAGTACAACATTTTAAAGCTAAAAAAGACTAGTTGTACTAAATATGATACCATCAAGTGCTCTGACATAAATTTGAACCTAGAATTGGCAGTTCTAATGAAGTTTCCACTTGTTTTAAGGAGATGTCAATCAGGAGGACTTGTGGGATGGTTCACTTGTAGCAACACATATTTTATTACTACCACCTTCAATAATGCATACCAATTCCTTTATGGGCTAAGTTTTTGGGTCTGCTTTGTGTATAACAAAAATAAATAAAACAATGTAATAATCACATTTGAACATAAATTCTATGAGTGTGATATGAGTTTCTTCTCACCAGGATTTGAGGTCATCTTTATTAAAAGGAAGACTTTATTCTGACTTGACTCTTAGAATCTTAATCATTGATCAATACATTTTTTTTCTAGGAAACTCATTTTTATCCACGTAACTGTTCTTAGTTGTTAAATATGAATGAAGATTCATTTTTTTGAGACAGAGCCTTGCTATGTAGCCCAGGCTAGCCTCAAACTCATAATCCTCCAGTCTCTGCCTTCAAGAAAATCTTATTATCTTAAACACAGAATTCCTAGCTTTGTATACTGTTTTACAATACTTAAAGCATAGGGAGAAAAAAAGCAAATTTTAAAAAGAGCAAGAATTTAGATAACAAGCATGACAGCATTTGGATAGTTCAGAACAGATATTGATAACTCATACTTAAGCTGTTAACAGCTATTTTAAGTTTTAAGTTTATATAAGCTATCTAAATTACAATTTAAGTGACTTGTGTCAGAAAACAGACACTGCATTTCAGAAATGTTTTTTTTTTTTTTTGGTCCTGTTGTGGGGCCTGAACTCTGGGCCTGGGCGCTGTCCCTCAGCTCTTTAGCTCCAAGCTAGAGCTCTACCACTTAAGCCACAGCGCCACTTCTGGCTTTTTTTCTTTTTGCTTATGTGGTGCTGAGGGATCAAACCCAGGGCCTCATGCATGCAAGGCAAGCGCTCTACCTTCCCAGCCCCATTTCAGAAATCCTAAGGAAGATCTGAACAATATTTCAATTTTTCTAAATTTCCTATTTGGCACATGAGTTTTCCCTCCAGCAGTTTTTCCTTGTTAAACCATTAAAGGCCATTTTTCTCCCCAAAACTCTCACAAACACAATGAAAAGGAAATGTCCTAAAAATAAGCTTGCCTGATTAGGGTACGCCTAAGATTACCTTATTTCTGTACAATTTTTAAAGTATTCATTTAAATTAGTATATATTATCAAGTCCCACCGTGGTTGGTGAGTTTTATAAGGTATTATTCACTAGTATTAAAGAACAGAACTCGGGATTTAAGAACTTTTGCATGGAGTTCAAACACATCCTGTATAGCTACAGCCAGAATAGCCTCAGAAAGACAATATTCTGACCTAGTGGCCTCAGGAGGTAGAGATAGGAGGACTGAAAATTAGAGGCCTATCTAGACAGTTAGGAAGCTCTATCTCAGAAAGCAAAAGGGTGTGGCTCCAGTGGTAGAGCACTTATATGCCAAACATGCCTGGGTTCAAGTATAACATTTCTTCCTTAAAAAGAAAAGGAAACAAAGGTCACTTACAATTAGATCCCTTTTCTCAAAATTATCAATAATAAGAGAAAAATAATCGATTAAATCATGTATTGGGACATAAAGACATACACTAATGCCTGGGTGCTGTCCCTCAGCTCTTCAGCTTAAGGGTAACACTACCACTTTAGCCACAGCGCCACTTCCGGCCTTTTCTGCTTATGTGGTGCTGAGAAATCGAGCCCAGGGTCTCATGCATGCAAGGCAAGCACTCTACCACTGAGCTACCTTCCCAGCCCCATATTGCAGGTTTTTTTCAAAACTATAAATAGTGGAGCTGAGAAGGTGGTTCAGTGGTAGAGTGCTTGCCTTGCATGCATGAGGCCCTGGGTTCGATTTCTCAGCACTATATACACAGAAAAAGCCAGAAGTGTTACTGTGGATCAAATGATAAGAGTGCTAGCCTTGAGCCCAGGGTTTAGGCCCCATGACCTACAAACAAACAAAAAAAACCCCTGCAAACAGTGATCCCTCACTTATGTTCCAGAGACCCTGACAGGTGAAAATCCATGAAGTAACAGTAAGTGAACCGCAATATAGCGAGGAACAACTGTCTACTATTGCTACTTTGCAGCTTCTCACTTATCCTAGGGTCTCTGGAACATAATTCCCACAACAGGTGAGGGGTCACATATCTCTTAGCAGAGTATTACTTTTGTGTGTGTGTGTGGTGCTATTCCTGGGGCTTGAACTCAGGGCCTGGACATCAACACTAGCACTCTACTACTTGAACCACAGCTCCACTTCTGGCTTTTTTGGTACTTTTCTCATTGTGTTTTCCTTATGTCATATCCTTCCCTGAAACATTCTTGTTTGATCACAAAGCATATAATCAATAGGAATAAGTCTGACGATTATTGCTCCATGTGACATAGTTCATTTTTATTTTAGTTTTCAAATAGTGTACTTATTATAAAAAGAAAACTGCATAATCATGGATACAATATAATTAAAATATCTATCTAAAATTTTCTATATACATATCTTTAATCTTTATCATATGCACAAATAACTTATAAACAGCATAAAATAGCAATGTTCAGAACATGCAATAAATTGGCGATCATCACAATAAAGATTCTAGGAAGTAGGAAATAATCACAATCACTTAGTACAGGATTTGGTTATCTAACTATACATGTTATCAAACTGAAATTGCAAGTCTCATATCTAATTAAACATGCGAAAGAATACTTTACTTTGCTAGCTTCCTTGACCAATTGTTTTAACAAAGTAAGTCATATGAGTGACTCAGGCTTATAATCCTATCTATATGGGAGAAGATCAGAAAATCATGGTTTGAAGTCAAACAAGTCAAGAGTTATCTGAGCCCTTATATCAAAGTACAAGCTGGGTATGGTGGTTCATATCTTTAATCCCAGTTATGAGATGTATAACAAAAACATAATGTGTTGGGAGCAAGGCTGAAGTAGTACAATATCAGCCTAACAAGCTCAAAATCAAACCTCAGACTATACTTTCTCCAAAACATGCTACTTATACGGGCACATGATACTGTTGCTTGACAAGGAAGTATTTTCAACTCTAAGAAGTGGAGGGAAGAGGAGAGTGCTATGGTAACAGGATTTAGGAAGCTTGTCAAATTTCCATACAATACATAGTAATAAACATAAAAAATCCAGTGACGGGTGGCACAGTGGAATGTGCCCATCATTTCAGCACTGGGCTGAAGCAGATGGACAGCACACTCAATGCAAGGCTAGCCCTGACTACATAACATGGTCCTAACTTAAAAAAAGAAAAAAAGAAGAAAAAGAGAGAAAGAAAGAATAAAGAAAGAAAGAAAGAAAAAGAAAAGCCAAAAGACACAAAAAGCCTATTTGTGCACATGGGAATAGCCCCATGTAATTTCTAAAGAATAAAGTAGCTTTTACAAACTTGCAAAGCCAGGTGTAGTGGAGCATGTTTGTACCCCAACACTTAGGCTGAGGCAGGAAGACAGCCTGAGCCTTAGAGCAGGATTAGGCCTCAAGATACAAACCAAACAACAAAAATCCCCAAAGTTGTGAGAAAGAGTGGAAGATAAGGGTAATAAAAATCCACCGAGCTTGACCCCTACAAATAATACACTTTTAAATAAATACCCAGGTAGGAAACATCAAATGCAGTTACCATTCAATGACAGAGAGGCACTTCTGAGGAATTTGTATTTCAGTAAACACCAAAATTTACTTATACAAATTCAGGAGGGTTCTTGGTGCAACATGATCATGGTAATGCTGCGGGAATATCCTGACATTGTTGACACCTGTTTTAGTGCTGGTAACTTGGGCTTGAACTCAGGGGCTAGATGCTGTCCTTTATTTACTCAATGTTGGCACTTTTAACACTTGAGCCACAAGGCTACTTCTACCTTTTTGGCGGTCAATTGCAGATAAGAATCTCATGCACTTTCCTGCCTACACTGGTCCCAAACTTCAATTCTCAAATCTCAGCCACCTGAGTAGCTAGGATTACAGGCATGAGCCATCAGCACCTAGCTGGTAATTTTTTTTTTAAATCATGGGGGTATATTCTAAAATGGCAATAATAATAAATTCATAAACAAACATTTATTATATATATTCAGCATTACCAAGTAACATGGAGTGAGCCAGTTGTATTAACATGGAGTTGTATGTGCTTTACATTTTAAGACTGGTAAATGACAGCATCACCGCAACCATGTGAGTCATAAGCTCTGCTATGAGGTTTCAACAGCTATATCAGCAGCAGTAGAAACTTTTTAGCTCTATTATAATCTTATGGGCTCACTGGCATAAACATAGTCCATTCCAGACTGGAACATCATTATGGGCTTACGAAGAAAAGATAATACAACAGGGATAGGTAAAGACAGAAAAGTTTTAAACTATGAAATTCTCCTAATGCAAATGAATTCAACACTGAATGGTTTTTGCAGAGGTGCCTCCCCATGTTTATGTTACCCACAGAAACCTTCTAACTCAACTGAAATGCAAATCAAAACCAAATCTTAATGTTTAATAAACACTTTCATCATTCTGTTGTCCTTCACACTTAACATCTTGATGTCTTACAGATGTCATTTGGCTAAAATGCTCCCATAGCCCAAGTGTCTATTTTTCTATATAAATGTCTTGAGTTTCTATACAAATGAAATGGCATTTTAATTTTTGGATAAGGAACTGCATTTCAAGCTGGTGACATGAATGAGGCAGAGTGTGGAATGAACATAGTATTCAGAGAGAGCAGACAGAGTCTTGTGCTTGGAAAAAAGCAGGAAAAGGGAAAGTCCAGTTGATATAGTCTCCACACGGGAGGGTTTGAATGTCAGAGTCAAAACAATGGGGAGTTAATGGAGATTCTGAAACAGAAAACAAAGAAGATGAAAGTAATACTTTAGGAGCATTAATATACTGGTTACTGTGCCTAACAGAAAAAAGTTTAGATGGCACTCATTACAAAACAAGCAAGAAAACATAAAGCTCACAAGCTCAAGAATCTGTATAGCTAAACAACTGAAAATGGTGTTAAGTAAAATACTAAAAAAGCTAAGATGTCTCTGAAGCTTCTGAAATGTTAAGAGTTAAGTAACTTGGGGAGTAGAGTAGAAAATGAAAGTAGGCCCTTGTTTGTAATAGTAGGCAACATGGAGAGCTGTCATACTGTTCTGAGACTTCAGGAAGGTCCAAATAGAGAGGTCAGGAGAGAAACAAGCAGGAAAAATACATATGACAAACAAATTCTGGGCTAGTGTAATTCATTTGTTACTAAAAGAATACTGAGACAGAGTAGTGAAGGACCATACATGACGTGACTATTGGGGACAGGAAAGAAGACCCTGAGGATGCTCTCAAGACATGGTGTGTGAGGCAGGAAGTGGCAGCATCTTGAAGAAAGGACTCTGAAGATAGGGGAAAATGCAAATAGTACAGAGAAGTTGACAGCAAGAGAAATGAAAACACATCCCCAGATTGGACAGCAAAAGAATGGATTAAATTACAATGAGAGGAAGTGGTCTTAGAAATTAAGAGGGCATTAAGAAGACATGGATATCACAGAAACAAGCACAAGGTAAAGACTTGGAATAGAGGATGATGGGAAGACTTGAGTAATAAGTGAAGAATCAGCAAAAAGTTTGCAAAAAATGAATTGAGCTTTGATTTACCTATGCACAAAGATAAAAACATGTGTTGTTATATAATTTTTTATTGCTGATTTTAAAGCATAAATGGATTTTTTTAGTATTTACAAAACTATGTCTGAATGCATGATTTTGTAGCTGCTCCTTACCCATTACAAGTTTCATACTCTGAGAACCAAGGTCCTAATATCTCTCTTGAAGAAAAATAAATTATAGGTATGTGCACAAAACATATAACTTTAAATTCAATAACTTTAGTCATTTAATTCATTTTTGGTGTTGGGGACTAAACCCAGGGCCTTCATTGTCAAGAGTCCCAATCAATTAAACCCTATTTAAAGGCTTAAAGAAACAGAACTGTTAACTGTTGAAAGTTGCAAAGCAATTAATTAGTAACTTAATAAGTCACTATCATAATGAAAATAAATCCATTGCTGTGAAGTTTAAGCAGCTTTAAAGAAACTTTTATTCCATTTGTACAATGGCAGGGTGTATATGTCCATGTGGGCATGTCATTTGTCTTATTGCCATGAAAATGACAAATATACCTTTGGAAATCACAGATTACCATTAGAAGAGACTGGTGATTTGCAGTCCTTCTTTCCTTCCTTCCTTCCTCCTTCCTCCCCCACCCCCCCTTTCCTTCTCTGTAGGGGCCAGGGTTATATGCTACACAAGCCTTCTACTAGTAAGCTATACCCTCCGCCTCTTTTTTATTTGGGAGATACTTTTTTTTTTTTTTTGCAGAGCAGAGGACCAAAATCAGGGCCTTGCACTTGCCAGACAAGTGCTCTTCCACTGACCTAAATCGCCAGACCCTATTTTTTGGATATAATAAAAATACTTTTTCAAATCTAGAAATTATTGAACCAGAAAGTAGTCAAAATATTTTCTTGAAGGAATAGTGGAGCTATGGTAAAGACTACAATCTCAAGAAAGAAACTAATCATTTCAAAATTGAAATAGGACACTTAAGGAAACACCTTGATCATTTATCTAAGATCTGTCATTAAACAAGAAACAAAGTGAGAGGTATTATTTACTTTTACATGGAAGAATATAAAAATCATGTCCATATACCTCTCAACAGAATATAGGCTAACATTTTCACCTGGAGTACACTGATTGCTAAGGATTATTCTTGTCTTTTCTCTATAAAGGAACCAGGCTCAGAAAGGTTAACTAATCTGAAGCTGGGTTTTGGATCTCTGGGTTCCCAACACTAGGACCACAACTCTTTCTACCAAATAGTGCTCACCATAGAAAAGGTCAAGTCCCAATTGGTAAAATACTCAACCTGAGACAGAATTAAAAAGCTGAGAAACTAGCTGATAAAGGAAATCAAACAGGTTCTGGTAAGCATTTAAGATGTTAAATTATACGAGAAAGAGAAAGATCACCTGACTTCTTAAGACTTCATTAGTAGCAATCTTAAGATATTTCCAGTAAACTATTTATTCTGTTTCCTTACAAGCTCTGTATTTTTTCCTACTGGTATATCTCTAGTATTGACAACTCAAACAAAGTATGAGTCAAGAAAAGACCTGGAAATTCTTAAAACCTAAACACAAGCACAGTTGGTATAAGTTAAAATACTTAACATATATGACTGGTATAATTTGATGTTTAGATTCAGTCTATTCCTGACAGTGAAGTGCATTTGCAAGGATTTTTTTACTGAGCAACCTGTCTTATACACAGTATACCAAAGGAAAACAAACAGTTCCATCCCCTAACAATCCCTGCTCCTTCACAAAACAATAATAAAATAGGGCAGTAAGGAAACAAACAAAAAACATTACATTAATACAGAAATTATATTTGAAAAAGACAACACAGAAGCTAAAAAACACAGACAAAACAACAATTACAACAAAAATCCAAAATCCAAAAGTCAATCAACTTATAGTAAAAAGACAGAATAGTCACTACAAGCTGCTTGATAAGACACAGATAGCAAACCTTCAGTTAGAAGTCTTCTTTAATTAAATTAAAATCTTTTCAATAGAACACAGTTTTACAAAGTTCCAAAGATTCAATTACAGTCACTAATTAACTTTCATTATCTTATTTATAAATGTTGTACTTACAGGTATACAAGGAAAATAATCCTAGAAATTATTTAATGGAACATTAAGCAATTAGTTAAAAGGAGTTCGAGTGGTGCAAAGTGGCTTGAGACAGGGATAATCAACAGATAGAATCAGAAGAGATTATGTATTTTCACTTTCCAGCCTTTGCTTCTCATCTTGTCCTACCTGTCCTAGGTGAGATAGTAGTTTGCTATATGCTTCCCTGTTAAAGAAACAAAGAAAACACATTTTTTTTATCATTTCCATTTTTACTTACTCATTTACTAATTAAGACTGTTCAACCACCTAGCTGAAAATGTAGCACAAGATTTTTAAAAATAATGCTTCATATACATATATGAGCAACCTCAGATATGATTTGCTGTTTTTATTTTTGGTTTGCTGTTTTTAAATTGTGTTCAGAGATAATGAACTATGTTTATGAAATGTTGCTTAGGGATGATAACAATATGATTATAATAGGAAGACTCAGGTCACAATCTTAAGTTTGTACATACAAGTTTTAAAACATAAGACAGATCCATATAATGAAACTAGGAAATACATTATTTTTTTCCTTATCTTAGAAGTAACAAAGATTAAAAATGAAATTCTGTTTCTCATACTGTTTAGTACTCTCTGTATTTGAGATGTCTTAAAGAAGAATTATGCTTGTTACTTCATTAGTCCCAACAAACACTTGTGCTATTCAGAACCTTCAAAAACAACACTTGCAAACATGCCTCGTTAAAGTGCTGCGCTAACAAGCATTTGTCTCAACACCACACTGTGTTGAAAACTTTCACATAGTCTCTCCAATTTTTTCACTTCAGAAGCCAAATCTTAAAGAGGTCTTTGCATTACTGTTTTATGCCATTACATTAAACATCATTTCTTCAAAGCCAAAAGCTAAGATTTGAACTAACCCAATATTCTCTCTCCAGAAGTCTGTAAGAGGCTAGACAAGTTACTATATGAGAGGTGTTTCATCATGAATGAGAACACAGTCAAATAGGTGTGATCCCTGCTCTCTTCTTAAAATGTTCATTTATTGTGCTGAAAAGATGGATTACACTAATGGATGCCATTAGTAAGCTATAGTTATAATCAGTATAGTCATGCCCCCAAGCAAAATCGGACACTGTACAATTTTTTTCAACTGAAATTTGGAGCATTTATATTTAAGCTGTGTATACACCGATACACAGGTTCAAGTATTTGATTAACAAACTATGACATTTAAATTCCATTATCACTACTGACTTCTCTAAAATAATCCCTTTAGAAAGTATATGAGTTACTTTATAATGCTGAATTTTTCTAAATAGTCATCACTATTTTGGGCTAGTAAGCTAATAAGAAAACAAAAATTTCAGACTGGGACCACACCCAAGTGGTAGAGCACCAGACTAGCAAGCTTTATTACCTATTTGTGTCCAAAATCCATATTATCTAATTGGGTCACTTATTTGCTGGATATACATGCTATAGTTTACTCAAAAATCAATCAGGAGCTGGGAAGGTGGCTCAGTGGTAGAGCACTTGCCTTGCATGCATGAGGCCCTGAGTTCGATTCCTCAGCACCACATAAGCAAAAAGAAAAAAGCCGGAAGTGACGCTGTGGCTCAAGTAGTAGAGTGCTAGCCTTGAGCTGAAGAGCTGAGGGACAGCGCCCAGGCCCATGACCTGACCCCCCCCCAAAAAAAATCAATCAGACTAGAGGCATGGCTCAAATGGTAGAGCGCTTCCCTACCCAATGAAAGGCTCTTGAGTTTAAATCCCAGTGTGTTAAACAAAATAAAAATCAAGCAATCCTTGACTATGGAATTTATAATACAAGACACCAGAGGCTCCAAAATGTACTTCTTAATGAAGAACAAGAAGTATGTGTTGAGAAGCAGCAGCACTACAGGTAAACTGACAGTTTCTAAGGGGATACTTTAACAGGAATAACATAGAAATGGACATACAAATTTGGCTTAAGTTTGTTGAAAAAAAATCATACTCTGAATTTTTGATGGTAAAATAAGCCATTTTTACATAATGAAATACAGATTTGGTAGTTTTAGTCCAAATGAATACAATTAAATGATCAAACATACCTTTGTGCAATATTCCTGCCAAGGCCCCACTTCAGTTCTGAGTCCTTCAGAGAATGAGTGAGGGCAGGAATGAGGTGGATAACAATCTTCTGGTTCAGCGTTGCTGCTGTCTCTAAAATACTATAAACTTGATATGAGTATGTCATGCCATACTCCTGGATGAACAGCCTGAAAGTGAAACAGGCAATTAGAATCTGGTACAATTGCATGGTTCAGTATCTACATTGTGTCAGCTATAACCTGAACACAGGAAAGATCATTGCATGTAAGATTTTATAGAAGCAAACAAAAAACTATGGAATACAAAGACTACTGGTGACATACTGGCTTTAAAATTCATGTTTCTTCAGTCTCAGCTTTCTAAGTGCTGAGATAACAGGTATATACCACCACACCCAGTTTGGTAACACTTTAAGAGATAAGACATGCCAAACTAATATCTCAATGATGGGGGCAAAAAGGAAGATGTGTAATTCTAGGAGAGAAAAACAAAGGGGGCTGGAGAATGACTTTAGTTCTTTCTACATAAAAATCAGTGAGTAAAGAGTATAAAAGATACCAAGGAAGAAAATGTTAGTAGCTCACACCAGTAATTCTAGCTACCAAGGAAGCTGAGATCTGAGGATCCTGGTCAGTCAAAGCCACCAAGGTAGTAAAGTCCATGAGACTTTATTTCCAAATAACCAGCAAAAATCCTGAAATAGAGCTGTGTGGCTTAAGTGGTAGAGAGCAGAGTTGAGCAAAAAAGCTCAATACCAACACACTGTCAACATACACACACACAGACACACACACACAGAAGAAAGTCAGATTCTTTTTAGCCCAATTCATCTTTATATCAACAATAAGCTTAACAAGAAAAATAAGTTAGTTATAATATGTACCTTTATGTTCATTAAATGAACAAAAGACTAAACACACAGCCTTTACAAATATAAAAAGATATGTTAACTTCAAAATTTCATTTATCATAAAATAAAATCTATTAGCTATTAATAATAGATCACATTCAATTTTTCTCCTTTTTTAGAATTTCACAGTATTCATAAATTCACCATTATCAAGTAATCACAGGTTAAAATATTGTCAATGGCAGACGAGAGCCAATTATGATTTGAAAAATCCCCCAAAATTAATGAATCTAAGACTCAACACAGAATTAAAGAAATTGACTCCAAATTATTTACCAGGGTGGGTGGCAAGGTAGAGATAAGTACAATCAAGAGGAACTTGTAGGAATCTTGAAAAAAGCAACAGTAAAAAATGCTGCCCCAATAGAAAGAATGAGATTTTTCTTTTGAGGGGGAGGTGGGCAGCCATGGTGGGGCTTGAACTCTGGGTCTGGGAGCTGTCCCTGAGTTCCTCAGCTCAAGATGAGGGCGCTACCACTTGAGACACAGTGCCGCTTCCAGCATGAGATTCTGAAGAGGGCAAAGCAAGACAAAGGAGAAGGGAAAGAATTCTTGAACTGCAGTTATTTTTGTGAACCACAGATCCACTCCTGTAAGATCCAGGCTTCATAGGTTAAACAGAAGGGAGCTCTGTGAAGCACAGTATAGAAAGCAAGTCAGAGTACTAGGAACATGTGCTTTTCCACTGGGTTCTGAGGAGTGTGTTGAAGCACACTGTGAAGGTGCAGGCACTGGTCACTGTGATTCACATTTCCCATTCTTCCTTTCTAAAGCCATAAGAAATTTCAAGTGGGTTTACTTATCTTTTCCCTGGCACTTTTCAATACAACAACACAGTGTAAGAAAACTACTGCCAAAAAAACAATAATTGAAATACTACACACAAGTAGTAACACATTATGTTTTGGATAATTAGTTATTTAAAAAACATGTTGGCTGTCAAATGGCTGGCAATCGTCTCCTGCCAGTTGGCTTGTTTTCCAGTTACCTAAACACAGAAGTCAGCTGGGCGGCAGGATCTCCCTCTGACCCCACTTGGCAGGTTTTTACCATGTATTGCAGGTTCTCTGTGGCCAGCCTTTTAACTAGGAGGAAAAATTACAGCATTACACAGTGTGTCTGACCATCTGGTTCCTCATTCTTAACACTCTTGATTTAGAAAAATATGTTGTTTCCTTGAAGGAAGACTATACTTTTTTTTTCCCTTGGTAAATTTTCAAAGAATAGTTATGAGTTTTTGTTTTGTTCTCAAAAATATCTAAGAAGTTTCACAGTCTATTTTTGAGTCTTAAAACTGAAACAATAGCATGTGATAGTAAAAGGGTCCCATATTCAAAACTATTTCTCCATCCTAAGCCTGAGAATGAAACAGAAAGAAGCCTTTAAAGACTTATACTTAAAATTCCTCACAACTTCTCACAAATATGTAAGTAGCAAACTAAATACCACCAACACTTCACTTAAAAGGTGAATTCCAAAAAGTAGAAATAAGCTAGGCATGACAACACACACCTGTAGTTTCAGCTGAGGCCAGCCTGGGCTATGATAAGACCATGTCTCAAAAACAAAGAGAACATTTGTGTTCTTTAATGTTTAACCAAGTTAAAATTGTGAATTTATGAGCAATCATAATGCAAAAATATTGCTATAGCTTGATTCTTAAATGGTCCCAATGGTACATGTGCTATAGTCTCCCAGGCCATGGTGTCACTGGGAGGTGGTGGCACCTATAAGAGATTGGGCTTCATGAAGAAAGTCATTGACTGGGTCCTTAAAGGGAATGGGGAATGGGGGGTGGGGGTGGGGGATAGGAGACATTCTTTTCCTTTCATTGTTCCACTACCATGAGATGCACAGCTACTTCCCCTTACATGGTCCCACTTTACTTAGAGTAGTTTATTTTGTGTAACATATTTTGGTACTTCATTCCCTTTAGGTCTGAATAATACTCCATCATATGAATTAACTGTGTATTGCATAATCATTCAAAAGTTGATGGACAACTGGATCTTTCCATTTTAAGGCTGTTAAGAATAATGTTGGGTTGGAATGAACATCCATATACATTTTCTTTTAAACTGACAACTTGATTTCCTTAACAGAGCTCAGCTTTAGAAAAAAAGAGAGTAATTATGTTTATTTTTTAAACCAACAGCTTTGTTTTCATATAATTTCTATATTATATATTCACCCATTTAAGTGTTTAATTCACTTGCGATTTGATGGCTTTTAGTATCTATAGGGTTCTGCAAGTATGTCACCATGGTCAACTTTTTATTTCATATAGAAACTACCTTATCCTTGTAAGCAACCACAAACTTATTTCTATGTCTAAGGAATGGTATTGATTTTATCAAGCTATTCAGAATGACACATAATTTAAAACTATGAACTTATTATTTATGGTATTCTCCATTTAATAGTTCTGATTTTTAAAAAAAAATTTTTGGTAATGTAGTTTGAACTAGGGCCTAATGCTTGGTAGGCAGGTGCTACTTCAGCCATATCCCTGAGCACTACTTTTGAGGACAAGTGGCTAAAATCATGGAAAGCAAAATTGTGGATAAACAGTAGCTACTGTTCTATTTTCTCTGGGTAAGCAAATTTTGTATTATCAGTACAACAGGTTTTTGCTGAGGTTCAAAGTATGCACAAGTTTTCAAGGAGAACAAAATTTCTATAGCATCTGGAAGCTACCAGTGAACAGTCTCTGGGGATAACTTGATGCTACCAATAAGTAAGTGTACTATATACAATCATTACAAATTTTTCCTAAACCTGGGATTTAGGAACAGTAAAGGAACAGTTTTAAAGTTAAAATAAATATAGATTTAGAAAAAAATGCGTATGTTTTTGAGATAAAACACCATGTCAAAGAACTGATTAAGCTTTCCACTACCACTCTGGGTACTGTCATCGGATTCTTTCGGGCAATGTAGTCATTTATTTTAGCAGTTAAAAAAAAAGATAAACACACGTGTGCCCGTTTACATTAAAATTTCTTCAGGATAGAACTATGACTCCTATTCTGCATGTTCCCAATAAGCTTATTAAACTATGTTACAGTAGGGATTAAATAAGCCATATTTCAAAGTCATCACTAGAAGCAAGACTGGTAAGATCAAAACCAAAGAACTAGAATCAAAGCATCCTTACAGGTACTGTACACAGACCAGCTTAGATATCCTAACAGATCATGATCAGAAGAAGTATGCTGACCCCTGACACTTGATAATTGATAATTGTGTTTAGTACTAGAGTTAGACTGAACAAACATTTGAGAGCCTAACAAGTCTAATGAGAGGAAATAAAAGTATCTGTCTCAAGGAAGAAAAACAACAAAAAAGACCCTAGAAAATCAAAACTAAAATAAGTAGAAATCTAACAGTTTTCAACCATTTTATCACACCTAACCTCAGCTATTACTTGGTGTCTGTTCTTTAGCCATGATATATATCAATGGATTAAAAAAAAATTGTAACTCCTCCCCCACAGTATAACCCCTGCTTTCACTGTATTTGATGTAGGTATAATTTGTGGAGGGGAAGAGGAAAAACAAGTTGTTTAAATAAGGATACAAGTGGACCCGTTGCAACAATGAGAAGTACAGTTCTCAAGTCAAAAACGGAACTTTACAACTTTGGTGGGGGTGGGGGGATGGGAGGAGGCTGGGAAGGGATGGGAAAGGTAAACAAAGGAGGAGACTACAATGTTTGATAAGAAATGTACCCACTATCTTGCCCATGTAATTGTAACCCCTCTGTACAGTATTTTCACAATTAAAAAAAATTGTAACTCGTCATTGATGGACATGGACAGTTGCTTGACTTGTCAACAGAAAGCAAAGACAAGAAAGAGCAAGATGATAAACTAACCTTGGGGCTCGTTGACCAACAGCAAACATTTTAATATGCCAGGGAGGAGGAGCTCCACCTCAGAAACCTCTACCTTGGTTTCCTCGAAGAGCTGGAGGATGAAGGCCAAAACAGATGCTAAGCGAGGAGGAGGTACAGATCCCTTAAAATCAAAGTAGGATTTCCTAAAAATAAGCAAAATTTTGTTTTTTCTTTTGTTTAAAGCTTCAATAAAGTGAAGTAAATGCTATATACTTCAGAGATTATCGAAACTTACCAACTTCATTAAGTTCAGTTTAAAGGTTTGTGCTTCAAGCATAAGATTTTAGAAGCAAATATTCCACATCCTTCCAGTATGTGAGAAGGCCCAAACCATAATACAGACATAAATGAAATTTAAAGCAACCTGGTTTTAAGATGAACTTAATCAAACCTAATTGTTAATTTGTTTTTTTCTTTTCTAATATAAGTCTGATCTCCCTTATCAGCACCTCAATACTTCAACATCTTCTCTAATGTCAAATTTGCATAAATAAATCTCTACTCACATTATTTTGTTTACAATTTAGGAGGGAGTCTTATGTTTCCAGATAAATAAAAGAACTATTCTAGGAATTAACTTCCAGCATAGTTTTTACTTTCTCCTATAGGGAAAAGAACTAGAGAACTAATTTAAGATTTAATGCCACCTCTCAGGGCAAGACAAATTTTAACATTACAACTTAGCACAGATTGTAAGAAGCATAATTTACCTAACTTTATCTTTTAGCACGGGTTGAATGTACATTTGCTGAATGAGAGAATGAATGAATGGAAGTGAGATTACATAGTTTCTTTGAAAACTCTAAACAATACAAATAGTCAAATATTTTTATTTGTTATGGTGCTAGGGATAGAACTCAGGACCTTGTCCATACCAGGCAAGTGGTCTACAACCAAGAACTACGCATTTCTCAATCTGCATTGAGGTACTACAGACCTAAGTATTATTACATCTACATTAGATATCCATATGGGTATGAAAACAATAACTTACACCATAGGAGATATGCAAATCACTAAGGATCATAAACTCCTTTGAGGGTAGCAATCATGTCTATTCCATAGTGACTTTCAACAAATAGTAGACTCACTATTATTATTAGATTCATTCTTTCTTTTGAGAAAAGAAAGGTTTAATATCTTTTGTTCATTTCTGAATTACTAATGCCCAGAACAAATATTTACTGATAACCTATGGTGTGCCAGGCACAAGTCTAAAAATAGGCAAATAAAATGAAGTTTTGTTTAAAAAAAAAAAAAAAGCAGGCACCAGTGGCTCATGCCTGTGATCCTAGCTACTCAGGAGGCTGAGATCTGAGGATGGCGGTTCAAAGCTGGCCCGGGTAGGAAATGCTGTGAGAGTCTTATCTCCAATAAACCACTCAGAATACTGGAATAGTGCTGTGGCTCAAATGGTAGAGTGCTAGTTTTGAGCTGAAGAACTGAGGGACAGCACCCAGGCCAGAGTTCAAGCCCCATGACTAACAAAACAACAACAACAACAACAAAACCCCCCAAAACAAACACTCTCCCCCTAAAAAACAAAAACCAAACATATGGTCTCATTTAGAGAAATTGTTGGAGGGGAGGGAGACATTTACAGCGAAACAGGTGTTTTGGTAAAGACAGATGCAGAATTCTCAAGAATTAGCCCTAAATCAGATGGGGGATTGCAGAGTAGAGAAATAAAGATTAGAGGAGGTCACAAGGGCCATCTCTTGAGTATTTAAAAAATAAAAAGTGAAAAACAGAAATGTTACATTTTAGAAACTGAAGGGGGAAAAAAAAACAACTTTTTTTTTTTTTTTACAAGATACTAGGTAAATAAAAAAAAAAGAATTAAATCAGGTCCGATCCTAAACAAAAGGGTATACATTTAGTTTAATTTAGATAAGACTCCTGAGATTACTTTCCCACAGTCTCAAACACTGATAGATACTGCAGTTTGGCTGGAAATTCAAGTAAAGCAAAAATACCCAAAACAAACAAACAAACAAAAAACCCCCAAAACCTATTGTAAATCTATAAATTGAGGTAAGCAAGGCAGATGACTTCAGAAAGCAAAGAACTGCATGGTAGAATGAAATTTTAGGTGAGATTTAGTCCAGAGGGATGACATCTTGATGAAGAAAATGGCATGAGCAAAGTGTCAGTGTAGGGAAGTATAAAAAGTTTTTGAGAAGCAATAACTAAAGCAATCTCACTAGGGATGGTACAGGGCATCAATTTTAATGCATTTGGAAAAAGGAAGTGACAGATTATGGAGAATTAAGATTATGAAATTTACCACATGGGGAAAAAGAGCCTATAAAAGTTGAGGACCAAAGAGTGTCAAAACTGAAAGGTACTCTAGGAAGACAAAATGAAGGACATGGAAAGACAGAATTTCAGCATTAAGTTCTGTAATGAAAGGTGATGGGTATTATTTGGTCATAAACAGAAACCCAATATTTGGTAAGAATTATATATATACACACACACACACACATATATATATATATACATATATATATGTATCACCATCACTAAGTGTTTAGGAACTGATTTCATATGAAGGTAAATATTACATGAAGACAAAGAAAGTTCTGTTATTCAATCTCCCCTCCCCTCTCTACCCCATGGAGCTGAGAACAGAACTCAGGGCCTTGCACTTGTCAGGTAAGTGCTCTTACACTGAGCTAAATCTCCAACCAAGTTAACCTTTTAATGTCACAGTTTAAGGATATGGAGTTGAGTTAAAAAACCTAAGTTTCATTCCTTTGCTTTACAATGAATTACAGTGAGTAGTTAAGATAGAACTTCATATTGTTTCCTTTTACTTATTAGCTTTCACCTTTTTGATATTTTTTATAAAACAGTTGTTACATTTTATACAGTGCAAAATATACATATACACATGCATAATACATACACATAATGTCTATGATACATACCTGAAAAATAATAGTGACATAGGTAAGAACAATTTTTAAATGAGCAAATGTCATTTTAATAAATTCACTTTTTTCTTGGGAAGAAGGGTTTCTAAACTACCAGTATCTTAAGGCTTATCAGTATCTTTGAGATATTGCAGTGATACTCATTAATAAAGATGGGTATATACCAGACTCAGGGGTGAAAACGAAATTTACAACTTCTGGGGGGAGGGGGTTGAGAGGGGAAGGTGGGGAGGGAAGAAATGGTAGGGGAAAAACAAAGGGGGAGGTAACAATGCTCAATAGGAAATGTTCTCATTACCTATCTCATGTAACTGTAACCCCTCTGTACGGTATTTTTACAATAAAAATATATAAAGATGGATAATTTGTACACACATTCCTTAGTCCTGAGCTGTACCTTAATACTTGGACGACATGTTTCTTTAGAGATGACACCGGTGGAACACTAACAGAGTTTCTCAGTGCCAGTAAAACAGGATGTTGTCCAGGACTTGAGACATTCGGTGAAGCTGGAAGAAACCGTCCAATATACTGCTCAATAACATTCCCTAGCAAATGGTGCATATAGGCATTTGGATTCTGAGACTGACAGCACACAATACACATGCCCTACAGGAGAAAAGAAAAAAATTAAAACAAAATAAAAATAAAACAAAAAGAAAAAACTAAGAGGTAAAGATTAAAAAATAAGGCTGGAAACAAACTAATATAGCTGCAAGCATTCATACACATGTCAGAATTTGTAATATCACAATCACAAGAACATCTGGCTTCAGGTAATACACACTTGAGCCTACAGGAGTTGAGTCTGGATAACACATCTGCAGTGGTATCTAAGCAAGCTGTGAATTTGGGGAAATGTGCAAAGGAAAAACATGGAAGAAGAAAAAGAGAGTTTCTTTCTTCTTGTCTCAAAAAGTTGATCACTATAATTATACACTAAACATCTATGACATTAGTCTTTTTATGGTGTTTAAACCAAAGTTTCTTATATCATCACACAGAAATATAAAATATGGAGGTAGGGGACTTTTAGGGTAGATGGGCAAAAGGAAGTTTTCCGTGATTTTTTTTTTCTCTAAGAATATAGAAGTTGTGCTAAAAATGTTCTGTGTTTAGAAATGGTGTAATTTTAAAAAATTAGTAATGTATGTGAAAGATTATGACTCATAACAACAATTAATTTAGAGGGTTTTTCATCTATGTAAAGCACTGTGCAGAGTGCTTTAAAGTCATTATTTTATTTAAATATTTCAAAACCAACTATCTCTATTTTATAGCTAAGAAAACTAAGGTTTAGAAAAAAATAACTTTCTAGAGGTCACAATGATTCCATACCTGTTGATATGGAAGGGATGATTTCCATATATCTATACAGACACACATATACATGCCAGATTTTCTAAAGCTCCTGCCCTTGCACAAGTTGCTTTCTCTGACAGCAGCATCCTGAATCCTCTCCAGTCTATTTTATACCTAATATCCTCCCCAGTGCTTTCTCTCACATCTCCCAACTCCAGTCTGGCTGACAGACAGCTAGTCTCTAAAGAAAATATTGAGCACATCTCTGTAAGTGGCTGCACTAGTCTGCATCCTCTCTACCTCAAGCTTGAGGTGAAGCTGCTTTTTCATCTTTGTTTTCAAAGGCAAACCCCAAGGGAAATTTAAGACTTGCTCAATGGATAAGCCATACACATACATGTGCCCTTGAATTTATAAGGTTCACTTTTAAAAACTGTATTAAGTAAGCTATGTTTTAAGGCACACTTTCCTTTTTGTAGCTTTTAAGCAGCTGTACATATACCTGGAGATACAAAGGAAGACTCTTCTGGATTGCAGTCAGCATAGGTGCAGGCAATTCCTTTTCTTGCTGTAATACTACATGTGGTAGCAGTAAACAGTCTATGATCCGAAATAACAACTTCTGGGCTTTAGAGGTGGCAAAAATTTGTGCCCATGATTTAACAAGAAATCCTAATAAAGAACAGAAGTTTAATCAGTTATGGTTATCTTCTAACTTGAACATTTTGTTATCCCATAAAAAATTACTTTTAAAGCACACAGGACCAAGTTAATAAGACAATAAAATATATGCCATGAATCAAAGCACTTAACATTAAGGCACATATTTCATTAATGATATAATTTTTTCTGAGTTTTAGATTAAGAAAAACATAAATGTGGAGGAAAAAAATGGTGATATATAGACCTACAATCCCAGGTATCAAGTGATAAAACAGCAGCCACACCATAGTTTGAGGTCAGCTAGGAAAAAAAAAAAGTTAGTGAGACTCTCCCCATTCCCATTTCAACAAAAATGCGGATTTGATAGCACATGTGAGAGGCAAAGGTGGTTTGAGGATAGTCCTGGGCAAAAAAATAGCCCTATCCAAAAAAATAAAGCAAAAAAGTACTGGGTACAGGGCTCAAGTAGAGTACCTCCTGGCAAGGCTCTGAGTTCAAACTCTACCAGGACTAGGGGAGAAAAAAAGAAAGAAAAACATAAATTTCTGAGCATGACACTTACACATACTACTCTGCATTTATATTCTTGATAGTTCTATTTCTTTGTTTTTATCTTACATGTAATTTTACAGGCTTCTTCAATGTAACTTGCAAGAAAGAGAAGTATAACATGTAATTGTTAAAATAGGAAAAGTGAAATTCACTATAATACCTTGGAGAAACCATTTAACCTCCTTGGATTATAGCTTTTATACCTTTCAATTATTTAACATAAACACAATTTTGTTTTTTAAAGAGAGACTTCTTTACTACTTGAAATTGGATCTTTTGGGGCTGAAGGTATGTCTCAGTGACAGTGTCTAGCAAGTATGAGGGCCCTGAGTTCAAATCCTAATCAACCCCCAAAACAAAATATGAAATAGGATCTCTTCCATGCTAGCACCAGCTGGCATGGTCGGCTGGCACCAATGATGACAGCAAAACTTCAAAAGATGAGTATGTTTTATTTAATAAAACAAATATGAGTGAATGTATAATTACAATTTAGATGTATTACTGTTACAAAAGTCCCACTTATTGAAGAAAAAATAAACTGAAGAGATTAAGCACTTTCCCAGATATCAGCGTGGCTTATCTGGTACATAAACTTTTATATTTTATTCCATCTTAGAAAGCAAAAAAGATGGTAACATTCAAAGTCAAACAAAAACTTTAACATCCAAGCTCAGAAAGAAAACAAACATGCTTGGACTAGTATATTCATGCTTTCTTAAAAAAACAACAACTAATAATCACTTCTAGGAACAGCAGCATTAATCTTCTGTTATAAAAGGAAGTACAATAATCAATCATAAAGAAATACAATGTTCACTTAGCAATATTTTAAATAATGATGGTTTGCTCCTCATATTTTTCAGTGGATGGAAAACTTGAGTTTGACAGCAATATAAGCAGACCTCACATTCTAACTAACATTACTATATCATTAAAGGAACTGCCATTGTCATGAACATTTGAAATGATTCATAGGACTCTCTTGTGTCACAAAGGTACTACTTACTTAGAAGAGGCAGGGAATCTTCTAACCTAAAATGATCACCTACATTTGTACTTCATCTTTAGAAATGATAAAATATCTTAGTGAAAGTAGTTAAGTTTTATGAGTTCATAGAAGGTAAATGCTTTGTCTTACTGCCTTCTCAGATTCCTACTTTTTAAGCTTCAGTTAGAGTTTGTGTAAGTGTACATGTTGCAGTGGTGGGGGTAAGTTCAAAACTTGTAATGAGGAAAGATGAAATCTTTTCAGTTTAAAAAAAAAGTTGGGAAAAATTTAAATACATGTATTTTTTTTAAAAAAAGAAAAAAAGTCCTGGTTGTAGCTATATTATTTATTTACTGATGGAAACATACAAAGAAATGTTAATACAAAGGGACTTTCTTCATACAAAGATTACTGCTATGAAAGTTTTTGTATAGTCTCTTGGGATTGAGGTACAGGAGCCACCACTCCCTGGGGTCATTTGCAAAGAAGTTGATAATTGTTAAAGCACTATTAAATATTCTTAAACCACTACTGGTGTTGGTGATGAGCCTCTTTCCATGGGCATACCTTTTGATGTTTACTTTTTCCTTTAGTCTAGGGATGGGTGATTTTATTCTCTGGTAGTCGTTAGGATCTTCTGGGGTGCCATAGCTGCCTGGAGTGAACCAACCAAGAAGCCAGCCAACTGTCCTCATGACAGCCACAGCTGTTTGCTATACTTAGTCCCAACTTCAACTACTCCAGATTGCACTTCATTTTTTACATAGACCTTGGTGAACTCTAGATGACACTGTAGCCATTAGCAGGGAGGCTGCAGTGTATACACACCCTCGGATGATCCTATGGAAAGCCTATGACTAAATGCAAACCAAGTCCTTACATTGTATGAAGGGACTGCCACTGCTGGTATAAACATCCGGTCCCACTCCCTTTCTAGTTGCATAAGTAGCCTATTTGGCTGACTTTAGGAGTCAGTTAGAAAGTGCCCTTCTGTACTGGTTCCTTCCTTACAATATTAGGTCCACTCAAAAAACTTCTGGAGTAGGTTTTTCTTACCTACTCTGGCTTTTGGTCATTAGCTAATAGGTTGAGCTGGTAACTCAGATAAATAAAGAGCCTTGGTGGCAGTATCACAGTCACAGTTACCATGGCAGAACCACAGGTGGTACATTGTAAGTGGCAATAGTGGCCTTCTCAGGGACAGAGCAGTAGCAGAGTGGAGACAGCAGATATAATATTAGCTGGCACTATCATAGGCTGAGGTGCCCACTCAGAAGGCCCTAACATTAGAGCTCTAAGATTAGAATGCACCACCACAGGCCAAAGGCCACAAGACCCATCTGGGGCCTTGGGTTACAGCACTAGAATAGCCTCTCCTTGCCTATCCAAGATTCCTATGTGGGCAAAGCCACATGGCCTCAGATAGCTGATGGTAAGTGTACTGTTATATATTTAAGTACTGTTACTTATATTCAGGAAATATTCTTGCTCAGAAACATGAACATAATATGTACTACTTCTAGTTTTATAAATTCACTCAATTTTGAGAAATAACTATTTGTATCTGCTATTCTTTACATCACAGAATTTTTGTTGCTGTTGTTTTTGGGTTATGATGGTTTCACTCAGGGCCTGGGTCTTGTCCCTGAGCTTTCTTGCACAAGGCTACTATTCTACCATTTGGGCTACAGCTCTACTTCCAGCTTTTTGGTGGTTAATTGGAGATAATAGTTGGCTTTGAACCTTGATCTTTAGATCTCATCCTCCTAGGTAGCTAGGATTACAGGGAAAAGCCACTAATGTCTGGCAGAAGTTCTTAAACCAATATATCCTCAATTTCCAATCCAATACTTGGTACAAACTCAGAAAATAGTCCATTTTTTTGTTCACAATAGAACATGAATAAAAATCTGAAAGATATGGACAGTTTAAACTTTAATAGGCACCATCAAGTACACAAATGATAGCAAATGAAAAGCCATAAAAGATGTCACAATTGAGGAGAAATACCAAGTCTACTTGAGAATGTGAGGTGTGGGAGGGGGCACCCGGTCTGGGCACTCAAGGGTGGGGGTGAAATTTCATCTGGAAGACAAAATGGCTGAAGAGACAGGGATGATCAAAGAGGAATGGAAACAGAAACTAAGAGATATGAAGAATAAGAAAACCAAACCCCAAACAATCCTTCCTGTAGCTCCTCCTTAAAATGACATAAATAGAAGGGAAATGAAAGCTATTATTAATGCGTCAACCCTGTCCCTTCGGATATTACAGAACTATGATTAGGTTTAGGTTTAATATGGAGGGCTAAGGAAGGTTTGTGATTATCTCTTTGCCTTGGTGGTTAGGATATCTCAACTCCAACTTATTTTCAATGCTTCTGAAATGTTTATACTTGTTCTTTCTTCATTTGATTCTAAATCATTAAAATGAAGAGAACATAAATTACTTTTTCCTAATTCTTAATGAGTAGATGAGTAACACTGTAGCCACATACTCTTCTCAGTCTTTGGGATGTAGGCAGATGTGAAAGAATACAGATACATATGCCACTATATCAGAAATGAACAAGGTAACAACAGAGTAAAAGCTCTCAATTATTCCTGGGCAAAATCTTGCCCTCGATCTAATAACATCAATTTCAATGTGATTTTGTATTTTCTGATAAGGCTATCATATATTTTCAATGAAAAGGCATATCCCATAATTTGTTTGGCAAAAATCAAAATCTCATAGCATCAGAGAAGTTTTTCTTGTTTCAGAGAACAAATGCATTATAAATTTAAGATTAAATGCTGAAATACTTACTAATCTAGCTTTTACTATATCAAATTTATAATAAATCCCTATTTATATTTTTCCTCTAAAATTAAAATGTCTGAATCACAAGTGGTGCACATTCTACATCATTCATATTTACATATTTTCACATTCCCCTTCATCTTTCACAACAAAGGAAAAAGGTTTCAGACAGTCAAATCAGGTTTATTTATACATTCACAAGATTAAAGGGAATAGATACAAGGTTTTGGCCATAGAGAAATAAAAAACAAAACAAGAAAAAAAATCTTAAATTCTATACACAAACTTCTAAGAAAGTATTTCTCAATTACTTTTATCCAGTTCCTATTTTTGGTTAGCAACATGGTTTTAGTGAGCAAAGATATTCAAATTACTGGCTTCCTAAAGAAAGATGAATTCCATTATTATAGAACAAGCACAGAAAAAGCTTTTTTTTAGAAGAGTGAAAACACAGTATAAGAAATTTGAAGTGTAAATATCTTTAGTGCTGTATTAAACTCTCTCCTGACCTCAACAGAACAGACCATAAAAATGAAAGGGAGTAATCATTTTCTTGTGCTTTTAATTCTAATCAAGTATAGAAAGGCATTAAAGAAAGGTCCATTTTAAGAAATTAAGTACTCAGAACACAACTCATGACAATATTGATAGCAACTAGTTTTGGTATGTTTTTTGTACTGAGTGTAAGTACTTTTTGTATGCATGGTGTATGGTATGGTATGGGTGTGTGTGTGTGTGCGCGCGTGTGTTCTGGGACTTGGACTTGGGGCCCAGGCACTGTCCCTGAGCTTCTTTATGCTCAAGACTGATACTCTAGTGGAGCTAGAGACACAGCTCCAATTTCAGTTTTTTAAGTTGTTTATTGGAGATAAGAGTATTTCATGGACTGCCTTGGTTAGCTTCAAACCTTGATCCTTGGAGCTCAGCTTCCTGAGTAGCTTACAGGTATGAGCCACTGGCACCTGCATAGAGCATGAGTAATTATGAAGACAATTTAATATGAACACTTGAAGGGCCAGAATGAATTATTTTATATCATCGAATTTCATCTTATTCTTAGATTGCACAGGGTAAGTAATTTGGATGGTCTATTTTGTCCACTTGGATAGATACAACAGGTTCAACTAAGCAAATATATATGGCAAAACAGCATCAATAGTACATACCCATCGTCTCGTAAGTTAGAAGCAGCCCTGCACTGGATGTTTTTTTCCCCAAATAGGGTTTGATGTATTTTAATATTTCACCAAGGTATTCTAAAGACTTTGTGACCATGGCAGATTTATCAGTAAGTATCTGAAGATTCCTGTAAGTTATACCAACAGCCTATAAGCAAAGGAAAATATGGAAAATATCACTTAACTTGCCAAATCTTACACAATACAGACTCTGAAAATATTTTTTTTGTTTTGTTTTGGGTCCAGTCGTGGGGCCTGAACTCTGGGCCTGGGTGCTGTCCCTCAGCTCTTCAGCTCAAGGCTAGCGCTCTACCACTTGAGCCACAGCGCCACTTCCGGCTTTTTTTTTTCTGCTTATGTGGTGCTGAGGAATCAAACCCAGGGCCTCATGCATGCAAGGCAAGCGCTCTACCACTGAGCCACCTTCCCAGCCCGAAAATATTTTTTTTCTTTCCCAAAACACACTATCATACTTGGGCCTTCACCCTTAACTATTGCAAAAGAACTTGTAGTTAAATCATGCACAGTTTTTCAACTATTAATGGCTCATACCTTCATTTTATGACTTGAAATCCCCAAATTCAAATCTCCAAATCCTTACAATAAAGACTTGTATGTTACTAAACTTTTACAAGAAAAATCTCTAAGAAATTTAGCTTTACTGTATGAATTGCTATCCCATCACCCCTAGAATCTTCTTTATGAAGCATCAACTGAAGCTTAACTTTCTCAATGAAGAGAAAATAGGTTAGAAATGTTAAAATGAAGAAGTTGTGAATAGAAATGTGAGATGAGGCAGTGAGAAAAGAACAATAAAGAGGAAAAAAGAAGAGAATAAACTCTGGAAGGTAAAGTCAGTTCAAGAGGTGAGAGGCCAAAATGAACAAAGAGAAGACTTTCCAGAGATGGGCTAGAGAGACGTCCAATACTAAACCATGAACGGCACCAATGCACACAGTTAAGTGATGCCCTCCCCAGCTTTCAGTAGATAAGAGAGACGGCAGGTAGTGCAATTATCCAAGATTGAGGGTTTGTAGATGAGAGTAAAAGATAAAAGATCAGACTGTGAGGGTATTATATTATAGATGAAGTGAAACTCTTAAGGTGGAGGAGATATAAAGTACAAGATAGAGAGAAGGCCACTTAAGGTGGAGGTGAGAAGTACAGGCTTGGGAGAATGCTCTACTTGGATAAAGGGGAATGAGAGGTCATAATGTGGTTGCTCATGACTTGGATGGAAACATGGTAGTAGTCCAAGCACTTTCTTATGACTCAAGTGATGATATAGTTATGGAAGTGGGATAAAGCACACAGCACAAGTGAAGAACACTGAAAGACCATTCATTGGAAGATTTTCAATGACCACTTAAGGAGATACGCTGCTAGTAAGATATGGAATGAAGAAAAAATAAGGAACCCAGTTAAATGACTGTTAGAAAAGCAAGTGAGAAGAGACATACATTTGTTCTGTTTGTTTTCCCACATTAATCCAAGCATTTCACATACATAAAAGTGAGGACCTTAAAAAGCTTTGTATTATTTAGATTACATCTATTTGTATCTAACATAGTAGAATATTTTAAATAATTTATGTGAAGGCATATAAAACAATGAACACTATATTCAATATATATAGATACGAAATTATTTTCCACCACAAATTCATGAGAAGTGTGGGGACTTTGTTTAGTTATGGTTTTCTGACTTAGTGGGGGACTGAACTCGGGACTTCTCATTTCCTAGCCAAGTGCTTTAACACTTCAGTAATACCCTCAAGATCAAGAGTGGTATTTTCTGGATATTTTTGCAAATCTCTTTATATCTAGCTTAAGAGAAAACAACTAGATTTCAAATCTGTGTCTATATGTAATTCTTACAATGTGTCACAAAGAAAAATGTATCTTCATAAACACATATAGCTGCAAGAAATATATATATATTTTTGTCGGTTGTGAGGCTTGAACTCTGGGCCTAGGTGCTGTCCCTGAGCTCTTCAGCTCAAGGCTACCATTTGAGCCACCCACCACTTCTGGTTTTCTGGTAGACTTTCTTGCCTATTCTGGCTTTGAACCACGATACTCAGATCTCAGTCTCCTGAGTAGCTAGGATTAACAGGCATGAGTCACCAGTGCCTACTTGGAAGAAGTTTCTTTTTCAAATAACTATGAGGATTTCTCTTTAGTATTACAAAAAACTGGTAGTTCTTGGAGGCCAATCACAACTAAGCCACATTATTCTGAAGAATAATGGGATCTGAGACAATGTCTATAAATATATATATGTTTGATATATGTTTGGTATGTTCTGTTCTTTGAATAAAATCTTTTACCTATGAATGTTTACTAAAAAGGCAGTTAGCAGTCATTTGGAAAAATTTGATTCACTGAGTTAGATACTACCCAGTGCCAACACATTTCATTATCTATATTAGAAAAGAAAATTCAAATCAGTCATTCTCTTCAGAAAAGTATTAGGAGGCTCTCAAGTTCATGATGGCAAATATAAGTTTCCTCCAATTCTAATTTTCCTGAAAGCTTGTGATTATAATAATTATATTAGCAACAGACACTGTCAGTTGTTTTCTTTGAAGTGATAGGCTTGCTTTGCTTTCTTCATTCATTTTTGAAAAAATACCAAACACCCAAGTGGGAATAACCATATTTTGTCAGTTGTTCTTTCAAGATAAAAGCAGTCAGTGCAACTTGCAACTCAAATCATCATACAAGTCATTTCATTCAGACAACCACATTGCTTTGGCATGCAGCAGAAGTGCTTTATGTGCACTTTGCACTGTCATTCAGAGAAACTAAAGTATATGTGGCTAGGGTCAAAATGCAATACAACAAATATTTTACAGCTTCATTAAGGATATTGTCAACAGTGGTCTGCCCTGTGACTACATAGAAGTATACATTTTAACAGGTTAAAACCTTTTCACCATTTGTGCAAATGTCAGTGAGCTGGTGTAACCTCTTGAGCTTGTCAAGATTCCTAGGAATCTATAAACCATACTATTGAATATCAGTGCATCTCCATGCTTAGCTTTAAACTCCCCAGAGCAAAAAACAACAACAAAAACATGTACTTTTTACTTCTGTTACTATATTTGTATGTCATAGTATCATTGTTGTGCAGAAAAGCATCAACATTTCAGGCCCAACAGGCGGTTTTTAAAAGGCCTGATGGAAAGGAAGTGTCTTCACTGGTGTTTGGGGCTTTAGATTTTTGGAAAGTTTCTCCTCATCCACTGAAAATAATGATTCGCCATATCTAAAATCATCTATGCACATTCTGATTTATGTTGAATATCTGTTTTCTGCAAGTCTGGAATTCTGCTAGTGCAAAGTAAAGAGAACATAAGTAACCTGTCTAATAAATGAAAATCATGTTCTGAGTTGCTAATAAGCTTCCCTGACAAACAGTATCTCATGACTTGTCATGAAAGAATCAAACATATCCTGTGTGATTTCCCTGGGAAAGAACTGTTGGAATCTCCAGACTTCATCTCATACAGCTTTTCCCTTTGTTGTTTTGTGTTTTGTATCCTTCCAAACTGGTCATCACTGCAACTATAACTATATGCTGAGTCCTAGTAATCCTTTTGCTGAATCAAGAACCAGAAGATAATATTGGGAACTCGGATATAACTTTAAACAAGTTTAAAAGTGAACCCCTTGTTTAATTATCCCTACCCTAAGGAAAATTTATAAGGTATTACCACTTTTCTACTTAAAGGTAGTAAATGACAAAGGTTAAAAATGACATTCCCTTTTAATCTTCAATCCTTTCTAAACTTCACAGAGTTAGGGCCAGTAGTACTCCTGCGGCTTTAATCTACATTATTGTGATTGATTTTCATAAAAAGTAATTTGATAAAATCAGACTTACTTAACAACTTTTATATTTTTCCCAGGATAAATTCTCAACATCATATGCCAGGATGCTCTGAATTCTTTACCTATTGATTAATTTACCAACCAATTGGCACTAAGGATAAAATGCCTTGTATTGTGAGTTTAACCTTTGTATATGTCTTATATTCTCACACAAGTAAAAAAGTTCTCTGAGATCTATGACTTTTTTTTTTAAACCTCTAAGAAGTCCTAAATAGGACTTTTTCCTTGGTAGGGCTTTAAATCTCTTCAGTATCTAGCATTTAGAAAAAACAAAAGAATTAAGGTTTGGTGATAAAATAAATTAATATGAGCTAGAAAAGACTTTGAAGACTAATGGAAAGCTTGACTTCTATTTCCCTTACCGATTCAGAACTGTGGGTTGAGATTCAGTCAACAACTAAGTAAAACAGTCAACAGAAATGTGTATTTTACATCTGTATATTAGTAAGTATCATTAAGGCTTTTAGGACGTATTTGGTTGTTGGACCCCTGTACTTTATCTTGAGTTAACATTATGGAAATGGCTGATTGTTATAATTGTCTTCATAGGAGTTAATACTGATTCCTCTGGAAAAATAAACCAAAGACAAAACCAACAACAAAAAACATTATTCCAGGCACATTAACAACCTCAACTGGCTCATAAAACTAACGCTATTATACAACTTACGCTATTATACAACTTTTATTTCTTTAGTCACTAAAAACAAAAATTAGAATGGGGCTATTTATTTTGAAGCCAAATAAAAATAAATGGGTGAAATGTTAAAACTCTAGCCATGCATCCAATGAAGTAGCTGGTGCTTGTGCTTAGTGTTTGCTAGAGTTAGGCTGGTAAGTATTCAGCTGGAGTTATTGTGAATCCTGCACAACTAAATTTACTTCCTGGCTATCTAAAGAACATTGTTATCCAGCAATGTCAGAGTATGATAGTCATAAAATTTTCGTTGTGTTTGGAACGAATTTTTTTTTACTATTTCTTAGTTTTATTAATTCTCGATTAAACCTAAATTTTCTGCCATCATTAAGAACAAACTACTCTAGACCCTTAGATTCCTATTTTTCTTGCAGAATTTTATAATAGCAGGCAACCAATAATACAATTCACATTAAAAGTTTATTTTATAGAAAAAGATTAAAAACATTTCAAGATTCTCTGAGAAATAATTGTAATTGCATCTAGACAATTATAGAAATATATGAGCAATACCTCAAAGAAGTGAATAAGTGCTTTTTTAGGGTCTTCAGGGACGGGCAAATATTCAACTTGAGACTTTGAGAAAATAGTCTTTACTTCTGGCAGTTTAAACAGTAACCTTGTCAGCTCTGTCAATTGTTCCATATATTCTTTTACTGTTAAAATAAGATGAATGTTTATTATGTAAAAAATCACATAACAGAAAGTTTTATAAATGCTGTACATACATATGTGAAGAACAATGAATATATAGGATTCTTCATTTATAATGTTTTCTTTGAAAATTTACATTTTCACAAATTGAAGGCTAAATTTAGTTTCTTTCACTTATGAACAACTTAGCCCCCAAAATTACTCATGGAAAACAAATGATGCAGCAAGATATTACAGAAAATTTAAAGCATATTTTTAGGCTAGGTTTCCTAAAATTTACAAATTACCATACATCGCAGCTTTAGGAAAAGGCACATTCTACAGAAAACATTAACTGTCTAAGGTATTAACAAAAAAGTATCAGCATCATTTAATGACTTATACTAAGACAGAATGCAAAATATCTAAGTTTTTAAAATGGGAGAAAAATGTTTACAGTTGGATGCTTTTTAGGGAGTTGATGGTATTATATGTGGATATTTATTGCAGACTTCTGCTTTTTTGTATATGCTTTTCAGTAGTATGCACATATGCACACATACAATACACACACAATAAAAGCTTTTCACCTAAGAAATTTTTTTATTACTTCCAAGAAAACAAGTTCTTTTTCTTTTATTTTCATAAAATAGAATTATACAGTTATAATTAAATATCAAGAAAGAGAACAGGTTACAAATTGACAGAAATTCTGTTTACATTCATTTACATTTAATATAAGTACATTTAATATATTTTCTTTTACTTTATAGAATAAAAAGCTCTACAATAAACACAAAGCTTTTCATGCCTAGCCAAACAGAAAGTATGCAACACTTACTTACCAACTGCCTGTTCAGGATTTATATCAATGAATATATCATTAGGCTCAGAGTTTTTCGTATACATTTGCAAAACACAACGGATCCATGATCGTACAGTTAAAGATTGAAAAGGTACATAGCCTGAATGAAAAAGTGTTTCACATAATGTGCTGTAAAAACAAGTTGATAAATATTTTTAATGGCAATATAGTCTGAGATTAAAGAAATATATTCTAACAGATACAATCCCTTACCTCACTTACTTTCCAATAAATACACTAATGCAGATGTGCACTGCTGAAAATGAGCATTTCAGATATACAGCAAAAGACACGTAAGAGAAATTCTAGTTTTTGTTTGTAATGTTCTAATTTTAAATTTTGTGTTTCTCACTTATGGTTGAGTTTATGACAAGGGAATGATTAACAATGAATACAGTTAAAATGAGAATGGGAAAAAGCACGTAGTTAACAAGGTAACATAACAAGGAAGTGGCACACAGATAAAAACAAAGTAAAACAAACAAAGTAATGGGCCTTGGAATAATTAAAGAGAAGTCATGACCATGTGAGTTTAAAACAAAACAAACCCTGCAAAAACAGAAGGTATTTCTACATGATCCTCCTTTTTTTTTTTTGCTCCTCCATCCCACAGATTTTCATTGTGAAGGATTCCCTCCCACTGGATTCCAGATTAAGGTCATTCATAAATTATAAAAAAGTTGTTTCCATGAGGCCAAATGCCTGGCTAGATTTCATCATTGCTAATCTCTTTATAAATGGAAGTGGAGATGAAGATTTGCTTTCTTGTTTTCTTTTGTCAGTCCTATGGCTTGAATTCAGGGACTAGGTGCTGTCCCTGAACTTCTTTTGCTCAAGGCTAGCATTGTACCACTTGAACTACAGCTCTACTTCCAGCTTTTTTGGTAGTTTACTAAAGATAAGAATCTCATGAACTTTCCTGCCTGAGCTGGCTTTGAACCATGGTCCTAAGATCTCAGCCTCCTGAGAAGATAGGAATACAGCTTGAGTCACTGGTACCCAGCTAACAATGCAGATTTTCTTAGCCTTAATATATACAAAACTGAAAAAAATATATATATATATGTCACAATTTTATAAATGCTGTTTTGAAATACCTTGAATAACAGTTGCCATAAAAAAGTAATCAATACTCGGAGTGGCACTATGGCTCAAGTGGTAGAACACTAGCCTTGACCTGAAGAGCTGAGGGACAGTGCCCAGGCACAGAGTTCAAGGCCCACTATCAACAACAACAACAAAAAAAAAAAAAAAAGAAAAAAGAAAAAAAAGTAGTCAGTACTAAAGAACACAGATTTGTCATCTATTAAGCTGCATAACTTTTCCAAAGCCATGTATAACTTTCGTGGTATAAATCAATTTTACATAACAAATTATTTCCAAATTTAAAATAGTTATTAATATAAATGTTCATTGTTATTTTACTTAAAAATAAATTATTTCCAATTTTAAAACATATTTTATAACTAATATAAATTTTCATTATTATAGGACTTGCAAGTCAGAAGAGATTCTAAAGCAATACCAAGTGCAAATGAAATCCCTTACTTTTTAACTAAAAGCTGAATGAATGGACAACCTTCTTAGGTAAAGAAATACTCAACAAAGAGCATCTTTCTTCAATTTCATTGATATAAGAACTACACAGTACTATCATGAATATTTATTATATTTCCCAACATCTTGATCTTACTCAAATCTTCCTGATCATTCCACATTATTTCTATTACAACTTTGTTTCTTCAGAACTTTTTTTTTTTTTGTCCGTCATTGGTCTTGAACTCTGGGCCTGGGCGCTGTCCCTCAGCTTTTCAGCTCAAGGCTTGTGCTCAACCACTTGAGCCACAGTGCCACTTCTGGTTTTCTGGTGGTTTATTGGATATAAGAGTCTCACGGACTTTCCTGCTTGGCTGGCTTTGAACCTCCATCCTCAGATCTCTGCCTCCTGAGTAGCTAGGATTACAGGCATGAGCCACCCACACCTGGCTCTTCAGAACTTTTATGTAATATGGCAGGAGATATTTAGACATGGAAGCCACTGTTCAGGTAAAGTCCTTTTGTTCATGATCTCACAAGAATTAAATCTTTAACAAAAATTCTAGCTGTAAGAGAACGTTATTAACTCTATATATACCAGTGTCTTACAGATTCAGAAATAATAAGTATGTGATAGCCATCACAGTAATCACAGTAGAGAGTATAAAAAGTTAGGTTCAGAATCAGAATAAAACAGTTTTCAGAAGCCTTCCTTAGCAAAATTTGCCATACACAGAAAGAGAGACAAAGAGAGAAAAAGAGAAAGTAAAAGAAAGAAAAAAGGAAGGAAGATAGAAAAAAGATGAAAGAGAAAGAAAGGAATCAAGAAGGGGGGAGGAAGGAAAGAAGGAAAGGAGAAAAGAGAAGAAGGAAGAGGAGGGAGAAGAGGAAAAGGAATAGGAAGGGAGAAGAGAAGAATAGAAAGGGATGGTAGTATAGAGACGTGGAGGGGAAAGAAAAGACTGAGAAGGAAGAAAGGAAGTCATGGAACAAAAATTAGCATTCTTACAATTGTCAAAATGTTGATAGACTTAAGAACAAAATAAGACCACCTTACTGTGAGTATGTATACCAAAGATCAGTTTCCATTTGAGATTTTTTTTTTTTACCTTGCCAGGGTATTGATCTATCAAGAGCTTGCATTAATGTGTACGTCTGGAATAAAGGCACATACCTATTTTGTAGCACATGACTTAAGTATCTTGTTACAATTTGAGGACATATGATATCATCCCAACCAAAGAGCTGAATTATTGATATAACTGGCTGCGGCTGCAGATCAGATGGGGCCGTGCTTGGCATATCCGCTGCTAGCAAAGTGAAATCTAGATTTAAAGTGAGACAAGTTTAAAGTGAGAAATTTTTAGTGTCTCTCCAGAGTACTACAAGTCAGGATATAGTATAGATACTTGCACATCCATGTTCACTGCTGCACTATTTACAAAAGCCAAGTTATGAAAACAGCCCAGATGCCCTAAGAGATGACTAGATCCAAAAGAAATGTGGTACACATATACAATGGAACTTTATTCATCCATTAGAAAGAATATTATGTCATTTTCAGGGAAATGGATGGACCTAGAACAAATCATGTTAAGTGAGGTAAGCCAAGCTCAGAGAGACAAATGGTACATGTTTTCTGGACACGATAACTTACACAGGATTCATTCATGAACTGTCAGACTAAAAGAAAATTTCTTTTTTTAAAATATGCTTTTTATTGTAAAAATAGTGTACAGAGGGATTACAATTACATGAGCAAGATAATGAGTATATTTCCTATTGAGCATTGTTACCTCCTCCTTTGTTTTTCCCCTGTCCTTCCCTTCCCACCTCCCCAAGTCTCCTCCCTACTCCAAGTTGTAAAGTTCATTTTCAGAATGACATCGCCCCATTTTTAGGAAATGGGAAGACTTGGAAAAAATTATATTAAAGAAGATTTCTTATGGGAGAAACCCAATGGTTTAACTCCTTTTGACATTAAAGAATTCTAGAATTTATGTTGTAATACATACTTCTGGTTGTTGTTGGTAGTGTTGGTGGTGGTAGTGATGATGGTAGTGTTTGTTTTGCTTTTTTAAAAAGTCTTTTTGCAGAGACAAAGAAAGGATGCAGAAATGAAGGGAGGAAGGATGAACAGAGGCAGTCATGGTATTCGGTATACACTTTGTGAAAAATGAACTATGCAACATGTGGGCAGGGACAGGAAGGGGAAACTGTGAGAAAGTAAAGGAACCAGTAACATTGTCCAGAAAAAGAAATGTACTCATTACCTGACTTATAAAGTGGCAACCCCTCTGTACAACATCTTCATAATAACAATAAAATTATATTTAAAAAATAGTTCCTGCATCCATTTTTTTTTCTTGGGTCTAGTCGTGGGGCCTGAACTCTGGGCCTGGGTGCTGTCCCTCAGCTCTTCAGCTCAAGGCTAGCGCTCTACCACTTGAGCCACAGTGCTACTTCCGGCTTTTTTTTTTCTTCTGCTTATGTGGTGCTGAGGAATCAAACCCAGGGCCTCATGCATGCAAGGCAAGCGCTCTACCACTGAGCCACCTCCCCAGCCCCCATTTCTTCTTTAAGTTACTTGTCACTTGCCACTAGGGAACAATTCACTCCATCTTAGAAAACAATATCTTCTTAGAAACAATATCTTCTATAACAATTGTGATCACTCACAATCAACATCTTACTTTCTTTAGAACCCACAGTCTAGAAGCTGGAATTTAGTTAACTATATTAAGTAAATGTATTTCATGTCATGATTTTCTCCAATCTGTACTAGATTAACGTTTGTTTGTCAGTCAGTTGTTTATATAAAGCACCACTTCCTATGCAGCTTTTTCAAACGGTGGCTGCTACTTCTCACAATGTCCTCCAACCACTTGACAAGAGTCTTACACTGGGTGTTTCTGCATCTTTTCCTTTCCTCCCTCTCTCCCCCAGGACTGGGGTGGGAAGACAGGTTTTTTTGTGTTTTTTTTTTTGTCAGTCATCAGGCTTGAACTCTGGGCCTAGACACTGTCCCTAGGCTCTTCAGCTCAAGGTGAGTGCTCTACCATTCGAGCTACAGTGCCTCTGGAAGAGAGGTTTTGAACTCAGTGCTTACCAGAACTTTTTAGTTACCTTTACTTTTTGAATAGGATATCACATTGTTTCCTGGGGTTAACCTACATTGTGATCCTCCCATTTATTTCTCCTTCACAGCTTGAATGACAAGTGTAGTCAACAAACTGGCTGAGAAAAGGTCTCATAAACTTTTCACCCAGGCTATCCACCAACCGAAAATCTCCCTAATAGCTACAGATGTGAGTCACTGTGCTTGGCCTGTATCTTAACTTTTTTATCTTCTGTGAGAGACTATTTCCTCTTAGCACTAAAACAAGTACTTTCTGGCTCATCAATTTTTCCTTCAGTATGAAACACTACTATAGGCAGTATCAACATACTGAAATGTCTCCAATATTACTTAAAAACAAAAACAAGCACTTTCCTAGCTCATACCTCTAGCTTTTTCCTTCTTTTCTGTCTTCCTTCCCTTCCTTCCTTTTTGGAGACAGGGTCTCATTACATATATGTAGCCCAGGCTGACTATGATCTCCCTTGCTTAGCCTTCCAAGTGTTGCGATAACAGGTATGTACCATCATACCTGGCCATATCTCTATCTTCCTTAAACAGTGATATTTAAAAAGATGTATTCACAATTACAGTCTGTAATTCTTTTTAAACTTTCTCTTGAATCATCTCCAATCACTGATTCCCCACTGCATAAAATGTACCAGTGAGACATCCCTCTTGTTAAAGTCAGTTCTATTTTACTGGACCCATCAGCAGTGTTTTCGTTGTTACACGATTCACTTCTTCATTTCGAGTGCAAGAAATTTAACTTGGGTTTCTGTTACCCTGCATTCCCTTTTAGTCTCCTGACCGGTTTCTCCTTATTCTGTAGATACTACATGAAATACTCTCTGGACCAATTGATCAAACTTTTCTTTCCACATACCATGCGATTGCTATTCCATCCAGCTCCATGGCTTTTAAAGGACTGTGTATATATGAACTGTTTCCAAATTTAAATTTCCAACTTTGACCTCTTCTTGGAAGCCTAGGCTTATTATCCAACTTCCGATTTAATAGAGATCTTTCAAAATGTTCAAAATAAAAATCTTAGTTTTCAACAGCAAATCAGAAGTGGTGCTGTGGCTCAAAATGTTAGAGCATTACCCTTGAGTGAAAAAGAGCTCAGGGACAGTGTCCAGGCCCTGACTTACAACCACCACCACCATGAACACCAACAAAAATCTTAGTTTCCTTTCACAAAATCTGTTCCTTCAGCAAATAGCTAATTATCTTTATACTCTTCTCAGGCAATTATTTTGTTACTTCGCCAAACCTACTTAGCAAATTGCTAGCATTACCATTAAGAAACTTTCTGTAGCTTCAAATCTGAGCACTGATCACCTTAGTACAAAGCTACCACTTTGACCCAAGCTAGTCATTTCTAGGTTGTGGCACAATTCCATTACTTGCCTCCCTATTTCTTCCCTGTCTCCATTGAAAGCTAGAAGAATCACATCAAACCTCTGCTCAAAATTTACTATCAGCTTCTAATATCAAAGGAAAAGCAAGTCTTTACAACTACTTACAAGGCCCAGTACAAACTAGCTATTCAATGTGCAATTGTGTTGTTCATTCTCCATACCACTCTATCTAGTTCATCAAACATGCCAGACACACTCTTGCCTACAGATTTCTGCATAACACGGTCTCTTACCTCCTTTAGGTCATTGCTCAATTGTTACATACATAGGCTGACCTGACTGCTCTATTTAAAACTGCAATCCATCTCTGGCTTTCCCCACCCTCATCTTCATCTTCTGTATTTTCATAGTTTTCCATAGCATTTATCACCATATAACATTAAACATTTAAAAGTCTTACTTGCTTTTGGTCACCTCCCCCACTATAATCTTTATGAGAACAGGATTCTTGTTCTTTTTTTTTCTAAGTATATTCTCAATGCCTATAGGAGTATTTGGTGAATTTTTTTCAAGTGAAATAAATCATCTTCTCCTATGCTATTAAGTATTTCCAATCAAATAAAAAAACACACATGTTGCTTTGTATGTATGCTCCATGTATTTTCAGACTCTAATAGATCACTGATAAATTGTTGCAATGCTGTTTCTGTTGGTTGACTCAACTTGGGATAATGTTAGAAAAGTAAATCACATTAGCTATCAGAGATGTCAACTTGTTGAATATCAATGCTTACTTTCAGGATTATAGTATTTGAAAACCATTGCTTCTCTCCAATTCTCCCACCTAAAATCTTAATTATACAAGTACTGCCAGAATTCAAGATTGTCTTAAGTTTTTATCATTCACAGTCGGGGGAAAGACAGTTGTTAATTAAAAAATTCTGAATACATAAACTTTTCTTAGGCACAAACATATTTGAAAGTTAAGTAACAATTATGTCTAGGTTTAAGTAGTATATTTTCAAATGTATGAGAAGCTGTATAGATATGAGTAAAAGCATATAGAGTGAGAAGTACTTTAACACCAAGGGGGGTGGGGGGTGGCTGGTGCTAGGGTTTGAATTCAGGTATTGGGCACTGCCCCTGAGCTTTTTTTCCCTCCCCTCAAGGGTAGCAGTTGACCACTTGAGCCATAGCTCTAATTCCAACTTTTCTTTTTTCTTTTTTTGGTAGTTAACTAGAAATCAGAGTCTCACAGACTTTCCTTCCCAGGCTGGATTCAAACTGCAATCCTCAGATCTCATATGAGTAGCTAGGATTGAGTACCAAGCTCATGCAACCTTTTAAGCAGCTGTTTTTTGTCTCAGCTTTCCTCATTCATACCAGGGTAAAATAAATACTAATAATTTAGCTCTTAGACTTCTTTAAAACATTACATTCAAATACAAAATAGCTTTAAATTTTACTTAAATATCTATAGTAATCATTATGAATTGTACTTTTAAAAATATGTTTTTGGCATAGTATCTATTTGAGAACAGGTAGTCTTTTCTTATAAAACTGAATATTCACTCATATACTCAAAATCTTGCCTATAATTTCATAGGATTCATAGATACATAGGGCCTAGAGACATTTGTTTAGGTCAATAATCAAATTAAGTAGGAAATTACAATATAAAATCAAACCTAGTAAAGTCAAGACATTAACATTTTACATATTCAATCTCATTCTGATGTAATAACTCTTGGTGTTAAAGTACTACTCACTCTATATGCTTTTACTCATATCTATACAGCTTCTCATACATTTGAAAATACACTACTTAAACCTAGACATAATTGTTACTTAACTTTGAAATATGTTTGTGCCTAAGAAAAGTTTATATTCAGAATTTTTAAATTAACAACTGTCTTTCCTTTTAGCAATAATCAATTTCTAATAATAAGTAGGCCAAGGGAACCCAATTTCAAAATACAAAATTTGTTTCACTTTTTCTGGCTGCCAAATGTTTATTATGCTTTTATAAAGCAAAAGTTTGTTATCAAGAAGACATAGGAAAATATTGGAGTTTGCAAAAAAGAGAAAGTGGCAAATTAACAATTAATGCTGACCTGCAGCTGCATCTGCAAGTTGAGAGAGTGGCACAATCTGTGCCATTCTCTGACTCTTTAAGAATGAGAAGAAATGTTTCCACAATACACTGGCGATTGCAGCAAGGTGGCGCTCTTTAGCCGATAATGAAGTCTGTGTAATTAGGTCCACATTCTCCCTTTGAAGTTCTTGACACAATTGTTGATGAATACTCCTAAAAAGAAATAAAAATACAGCTAGCACCGAAGAAATGCTTACAGAGATCTTTAAATACATTTTTGCCTTTTTTCATTTATATCATGAAAGCTGAAAGACCATTTCATATAATTAAAACCTTTACACCAAGACATAATGCATTTCTGCTTATTTGATGGATGAATGATGGCATATTAAGCACCATAAAGTTAATGTTAATTACTAATGTCAACCATTAATTATATGCTTTTTAATATGTCAGATCCAAATGAGAAACAGGCAGCTTCAGAATGAAGGTCTGCATTTTGCAACTCATGTATGACAAGTGATTTTACTCACAATGTAGACATGAAAACAATTCTTCAAACCATTTTCTCCTGAGAGCTTTAGGACGCAGATGTACTAGGAGGGAGGTAAGTACATCTGGCTATGTGAGGTGTTTTAAACTATTTTTTTTCCTTTCATAGAAAAGATATGATTTTTTTCCAAGTTTTTCCATTTCCTAACAAATGGGGTGGTGTCATTCTTCCTGATAGAAGCATAGAATTCCATTTTGTGTGTGTGTGTGTGACATTTTCTTGATCCATTCATCTACTGAGGGGCATCTGAGTTGGTTCCATATCTTAACTATAGAACATAACATTGATCCCATGGTTTCCCTTATTTGCAATAATTAGTATATGTCTATGATTATCTTATCAGACAAGCAGAATAGATCAACAGCTATGTACATATGACCATATAAGGTGATGCTAAGCGAAATGAATTCCAAAACATGGACACAATAGGTTTTTCTCTGTTTTTAATGTACTATGTGATTTTTTTTGTTTTTTTTGTATCGTTTTCCCCCTATGGTATATCCCCTGTTGTCACTGTATTTGATTTTGGTACGCTGGTATTGCATATATGTTTATCTGAATTAGGGAAGAGAAGGGGAACAACAGAATGGTGAGACAACAGACAAGGGGGGAACTCATGCAACAGCGACATACACATGACAGTATGTTGGAAATGATCTGTATAAAACGTGGGGGTGGACCTCAGGGGGAGGGAAAGTAGGAGAAAAATGAGGGAAGGGGTAACAAGTTTGACGAGAAATGTACTTATTACCTTAGTTATGTAACTGCAACCTCTCTATATACACCTTGACAATTAAAAAAAAGAAAAAGAAAAGATATTGACCTTGTGCTAGTATACAAAATCATAGTACATTGGTCCAAAAAAAGGTCATTTATCATTTTCACATAGGAGACAAGCAATAAAAAGTTGCTTTTAATCCAACTAATAAAGGGTAATTTCATGATGCCTTCAATTTTTCTTTTTCTTTTCTTTTTTTTTTTTTTTTGCCCATACTGGTGTTTGATTCAGGGATTCTTGCTAGCTAAACAGGTACTCTACCAGTTGAGCTACTCTGTCAGCCCCTTTGGGATTGACTATTTTCAAGATGGGGTTTTGCTTTATGACCAGGGCCTAGCCTGGACTACCATCTTACCCATGTTTCCTGCCACTGATTGAGATGGAGTCTAATGTAGTCTTTTGCCCAGGCTGACCTTGAACCATAATCTCTTGATCTCCACCTACCAAGCAGGATACCAAGCTGAGCCACCCGACCCAGCTTCTGCCTTCAATTTTGATTCACCATCTAATTGCTTTTTCCACTTAATTATATAAAAAATTTAGACACCTTTATTCTCAACAGAAGAAAACTGAGGTCACCAAAGAGGGGGTGATACTAAGAGATCTTTCATAGTGATATGGAAAAGAACACATCTCAGCAATGCCTCCAGCAATTATGATTTATGATTAATCTATTATTGATATGATCTATTAAGTATAAAATCAGCCTATTCTTGTCTTTGTCTACATCAATGTTATGACCTAACTCTATAGATAGATCCTTCCATTTGCTTTAATCAATTGTACAGAAAGAAAGTAAGATGTAACCTATGGAATGTTATTCTTCCTTTGACAGGAAGAATATTCTAAGTAACAAGTACTTTAAGAAACATTATACCAATTCCAATGCAGTATTCTTGATGCTTTTAATTATATGTATACATACATACATACATACATATAATTATTTATACATGTATATGTATGAAGTAGACATTACTTGGAAGAAATACACAAGACATAGAATTTGTACCTAAAGCAATTTCACAAAATGATCATGCTGGTAGTAATCACAGCTTGTTACGTAATTATTACACACAACGAAGTAAAGATTCTAAGTAAATTTTATACTCCTTTAAATTGATTGGAATCCTGCATAATCCTGGGCCAATATTTCATCCTACCTGAGGTACTGGAAACTGTGTACAAATGCCTACAGAGAGCACAGCAAACAAATCTCATAAACACTAACCAAGTATCTGTTATGTTCCTCTCTGTAAAAGCCTGCCTGAGATGCTTTCAACTGGAACTAAAGGCTAGAGACTCTTTTAGATCCTTTAGCTTGTAATAAAATAATACACTGTAAAAATTCACTTAGCAACTAACTCAACTGCCTCTATCAACATTTGTACACTCTGAGGTCCAAGTAAAATCATACTATTTTCAAGTATATTGATCTCAAAGATAGTAACTGCTTCATTATACTTTGATAGCATAAGTAATTTTTCACTATTTCTAAATAAGCCACTGTTTTCTAAAACCTATTATCTAGAAAATGATAACTTTCTTGATGTCTTCATGTGTTAGAAATTATTTCCCTTAAAAATCAGGCCCCTTTTGATTTTTTTAAATTTGTTTTTTTCTTTTCCTGATGATTCTGTATTTTTTACCTTATATATGGTATATTCATGGGCATATCTGTGGGAGAGCACATAATCTGAGAAAAAAGGGTGAAAAAATACAGCAGTGGAGCACACTGGACACAGATGAAAGTGAACTATACAACTTGTGGGTTAGAGATGGGAGGGTGGGATTGGGAGAGAATAAGGGAACAAATGACACTCTAGAAAAGGAAGTGCAACCCCTCTACATATCATCTCAATAATAATACATTTGAAAACAAAATCAGACCCCTGCTTAAAAAAAATTACCAAGTCAAAACTAATTCAAGGACTACCTATAAGCCCACAAACTATAAAAACTACTTGCTTCATGCCACTGGAATGGTGATAAGAACTATCCCCTTAAAAAGGAAAGACACAAAAGAAAAAACAGGCAAAAAAAGTTTCTGCACAGCAAAGAAAACAATGGTGGGAGTGAAGATACAACCAACAGAACTGAAGAAAGCATCTGCATCTGGCTAACATTAATCATCAGGAAAATGCAAATCAAAATCACAATGAGCTTTCACTTCAGAAGAGCTATCATCAAAAACATGTAAGGGGGGCTGGGAAGGTGGCTTAGTGGTAGAGCGCTTGCCTTGCATGCATGAGGCCCTGGGTTCGATTCCCCAGTACCACGTAAGCAAAAAGAAAAAAGCCAGAAGTGGTGCTGTGGCTCAAGTGGTAGAGCACTAGCCTTGAACTGAAGAGCTGAGGGACAGCACCCAGGCCCAGAGTTCAGGCCCCATGACCGGATCCCCCCCCCCAAAAAAAAAAAACATGTAAGGTAACAAGTGCTGGTGAGGCCGTGGAGAAAAAGGAACCCATACACACTGTTGGTACAAACGTAAATTAATAGTCATGGAAAACAGTACGGGGGTTCCTCAAATAAGTAAAAACAGAACTGCCACCTGATCCAGCAGTCTCACTTTTAAGACTGTCCTTATTCATATTGTTTTGCATATAGGTTTTTTTGTTTTGCTTTATTTTTTCAAACAAAACACAAAGAAGGTGTTAAAACTGGTGAAATAGCTCAACAGAATAAGTATTGCATAGAATTCCATTGTGTATATATACCACATTCTCTTGATCCATTCATCTAGTGAGGGGCATCTGGGTTGGTTCCATATTTTAGCTATGGTAAATAATGCTGCAATAAACATAGTTGTGCTGGTAGCTTTAGTATGGTCTTGTTTGTAAACATTTGGGTAAATGCCCAAAAGTGGGAATGCTGGGTCATAGGGGAGCTCTATGTGGAGTCTTCTGAGGAACCTCCATACTACTTTCTAAAGTGGTTGAACAAGTTTACACACCCACCAACAATGCAATAAGGTTCCCTTCTGTCCACATCCCCTCCAGCATCTGTTGTTATTAGAGTTCTTGATTCTAGCCATTCAACTGGGGTGAGGGGTGATTTGCATTTCTTTTATGGCTAGAGAGGTTGAGCATTTCTTCATGTGTATATTGGCCATCCCAAGATAAGTATTCAAATGTTTTTTCTTTCATGCAATTGTTTCTAACATATTTATAAGATGATTTCTTTGTTGCTTTGTATGTCCCTCCCCACAGTATAACCCTGTTTTCACTGTATTTGATGTTGTTATAATTTGTGGAGGTGAAGGGGAACAACAATTGTTTAAATAGGGATACAGGTGGACCCACTGCAACAATGAGATGTACAAGCTGTTTTGTCGAAAAACGAACTTTACAACTTTGGTGGGGGGGGGGACGGGGGGGGGGAGTCATGGGAGGCAACAATGCTTGATAAGGAAGTACTCATTACCTTGACCATGTAATTGTATGGTATTTTCACAATAAAAAAAAAAAGAGTAAGTATTGCAGATTTTGTGAGGGATGAAGAGGGAGATATTCAGAATCCTTCACCAGAATCCCCCAATTTGACCACAGTGGATTAATGATGAGCTCTGTGGATGTGGTTAGTCAATGACACCAGCTTGATGGATTTTTGTTTCTGCACCAAATCCCATTGAGTTATCTGGTCCCTGGGCTGACGAAGAACCATTAGGTGAGGAGTACTAGCATCATCCAGGGTGATGTTCTTTAAGCTATCAACCAATCAATCAGGCTGAGGAGCTGCTACTGCCGTGGGGCCCTCACAGACTCTCCAGACATTACAGGCACTGCACTTGCCCATGCACTGATTCACAATCACTGGCAAATGCCATCCTGAACTTCTTTCACATACAAAAACAGCTCTTGCTATCTCCTACTTCATAGTTAA